TTTTAATGAAAATATACAAAATTGCATTTAAATTAATTTAATTCGACGCTGTAATATTTTGCTTTACATAATCGTCTTTAATCTCTCTCCCCATCTGTAATGATTTCAGTCTGATAGAAATGAAACATTGATCATATTCTTCTTGAATAGATTAGCTATCCCCCCTCACAAACCGCAAAGGAAAGTAAAGTGGTGCTAAAATTATACATTGATGATGATTCATATATCTTAACAACCTACATTTCACACACTAATAACCTTTTTTTCCGCACTCTCTCTCTCTATCTCTCTCTCTCTCTCTCTCTCGCAATTCAATTTCAATTTAAGGGGATTTATTGGCATGGGAAACATACATTGCCAAAGCAAGTGAAATAAATAATAAACAAATGTGAAATAAACAGTAAAAAATGAACAGTAAACATTACACTCTCTCTCTCGATGCCTGTCTCTGTCTCGCTCTCTGTCTCTCTCTAGCACCTCCTGTAGGTTACCTCCTAAACATGTTGCGTGAGTCCTTCTGAGCCCACAAGAATATCATGACAACCCCTTTTTTGACCCAAACTTCTCAGAGCATGGCTGCATAGGTGAAGATTAAAATTCAGTGGTGGTCGGTGCTGTTTAAGTTTAGGGAGGATGATTTTTCTTTCATGAGCTTGGCCTTATTTCTATTACAGCATATTGGATCTGTCATTCATATTCCATTCACCCAGTTCAATGTAACATCGATAGGTTTAGGCTACTACATTACAGTCCAATGTTCCCTATACCCATCATGAGGTTGCTACAACCTAGCCCACCAATTAAAGTTTATAATGTAGGTGAACAGGTCGAGATACAAATTGGAGTGATCAATGTGACAGACAGCACTGTACCGCCTTGCACACTGTTGCCTGCATCTAGCTGATATAGGGTGTAATCATTAGTCCAAACAGTGACAAATTCAGGTAGGTTTATTCCCGTTTTGTTTGCTTCCGTTTAAGAAAAGGTTTTTCAACAAAATTGGCTGAATGAATACACCACTGATCACCTGCACACACAGTTCACTTCCATAGCAGCCACGTACAAAAAGCATCATCACTTTGCTCTTTGTATAATTCCTTCTCACATCTACGCGCTCTCCTTCTCTCACCTTTATCCTTTCGCTTGTGGACTTCAGTGCACAACACAACAGCTGTCTGTGATCAGGTGAAAAAAACTTTTCCAAGCCAAACCTTCATATCATAACCGCTAACCGCTACACACAGCCTACATCGTTGTCACCATATTAGCTAACGTCGTAGTCAACATAGCTACTAGAACTAATGTGTTAGTAAACCCGCTACAATCATGCAGTACAGTCAGCAAGCAGTTTAGCAGTTACACCGGCAGCCCCAGTGGCAATCAATTCATAAAACCAAAAGCTTACCTTGACTTGGAAGAGTTCCAGTGATGGATAGCCTTAGCCAGCTAGCTAACATAATTAGCATTCCTCTCTGTTTGAGCCGGGTGTTTGAGTCGGCTAAGCTAGCTAACTGCATTAGCTAGCTAAGTACAGTAAGTGAAAGTGAAATTAAATACAACGAAATATAAATGGCTGTCTCTCGCTCTCTCTGCTGCTTCTCCTTCATTTTAGATTTTTTTTTTTTTGCAAAACAGTGTGTTTTAAACAGTTATTTGGTGACGTGAATATACAAAACATTAAGAACATCTTCCTAATATTGAGTTGCACCCCCTTTTGCCCTCAGAACAGCCTCAGTTCTTCAGGGCATGGACTCTTTAAGGTGTCGAAAGCTTTCCACAGTGATGCTCGCCCATGTTGACTCCAATGCTTCTCACAGTTGTGTCAAGTTGGCTGGGTGTCCTTTGGGTGGTGGACCATTCTTGATACACGGGAAACTGTTGAGCATGTAAAACCCAGCAGCGTTGCAGTTCTTGACACAAACCTGTGCGCCTGGCACCTACTACCATACCCGGTTCAAAGACACTTAAATATTTTGTCTTGCCCATTCACCCTCTGAATGGCACACATACACAATCCATGTCTCAACTGACTCAAGGCTTAAAAATATTTATTTACCCTGTCTCCTCCCCTTCGTCTACACTGATTGAAGTAGGTTTTCAGTGACATCATCAGCGGATCATAGCTTTCACCTGGATTCACCTGGTCAGTCTATGTCATGGAAAGAGTTCTTAATGTTTTCTACACCCAGTGTATTTAGTATAGTTGTATCTAAAAAGGTTAACTTTTTTAATGTTTCACTATTTTTATTTCTATGGAATTCACTGAGTAGGATGGTCCTCTCCTTCCTCTGAGGAGGAGCCTCCACTGGATTCAATGGGTTAATGTACAATGTGTAGCATTACACGACACACAATAGCTAGACGAACATGGCTGGAAGTGAATCACTGTATTTACTGCACTATTTAATTGTCAATGATCATTTGAATTGATGTAGTCCAGTCATCTGGTGTGGCCTTAAAGTTGACATCAATGATGTGATGGGGAATGTCAATCACACTAATGTGCAATTGTGAAATGAAACAAATATGTTGATATTAAAGCGTCTGCAGACAGTTGATAGATTGAAGATGGCTTGTGAAAATGGTGCGCAATAGGCAACTAGTTTACATTTTAATATTTTGTTAATAATAAAACGTTGATTTGATCATCTGTGAAAATAATAAAAGGCATTTTAGAGATACATCATGGAACTGTCACAATGCATCAAATGCAGACCTAATAAGGTTAGACATGATAATGCACTCAGTCGGTCATACAGACTCATACAGGAAGAAGCTCAGAGCCACCCACTCATATCCGAAGACAAGCCCACACCTCCAGATAGATAGAGAGATGGAAGAGGGGGATGGAGCAGACTGAGAGGATGGGAGATGAAAGAGAGAGACGCGGCAGGAGGTAGAGAGATCGGCGCGAGAGAGCAGAGACGCGAGAGACGACGGTGAAGGGAGAGGGGGGAGAGCCGATGGTGAGATGGAAGAGAGAGAGAGGGAGGGAGGGATGGAGAGAGAGAGAGAGAGAGGAGAGAGAGAGAGAGAGAGAGAGAAGCAGAGAGAGAGGATGGAGAGAGAGAGATAAGGGATGGGAATGGGAGAGGGAGTGAGAGATGTGATGATGGGAGGAGAGCTGGTACTCCTTATCCATGAGAGGGTTTCTTAATTTCTCCCTGCTCCATCTGTTGAAATGATAAAGTGTAGCTATAATGGTCCACAACCAGATTAAATTAATCAGGTTTGTCCATTACACTGCTGCAGGCCCCACGCAGATGATTGCAATTCTCCCTGTCAAGCCATTACTGTGAGATCTATTTAGCGGCTGATGACGTTAACATGGGACTTAATGTAAATTTTACAATACAAATAACACCTCTCGTCCATGTATGTTTGAGACAGGGTGCAGGCAGGGGCTACAAGGACGTCCCAAAGTGCAACGATCAACACCCCCTGTTACCATTTGTATTAAACTTCAAACAAACCAGGGTGCTATTTGATTAGGCTGAGCTCTGTGATCAATAAATCCTGATTCATGTTTTCACGTTGTTAGGGATGTCAGGGGATGCGGTTGCTAGGCAGAGAGAGAGAGAGAGAGAGAGACTACCCCCTGTGCTGTCCGTCTGTCTGGCCTGGACAGGACTGTAAAGGAATACACCTTACAGAAGGGTCTCTCATATACACTGTAGCCTGTATTATATGGACCTGGGATGCCTTCCGAATGGCACCCTGTTACCTATAGCACATTACAATTGACCAGAGCTGGTTCTCCCGAGTGGCGCAGTGGTCTAAGGCACTGCATTGCAGTGCTAGCTGTGCCACTAGACATCCTGGTTCGAATCCAGGCTCTGTCGTAGCCGGCCGCGACCGGGAGACCCATGGGGCGGTGCGCAATTGGCCCAGCGTCGTCCAGGGTAGGGGAGGGAATTGCCGGCAGGGATGTAGCTCAGTTGATAGAGCATGGCGTTTGCAACGCCTGGGTTGTGGGTTCGTTTCCCACAGGGGGTATGAAAAAAATAAAAAATAATGTTTGCACTAACTGTAAATCGCTCTGGATAAGAGCGTCTGCTAAATGACTAAAATGTAAATGTCAAAAGGAGTGCACTACGTATGGAATAGGGTGCCATTGGGAAGGCACATGGAGTCGCTCTGATAAAAGAATGGCAGGATTATTGGCTATTTAGGCCCGCTAGTCTCACGCTCAGTAGGAGCATTTCATTAATTTATCCTGGAGTTGATAAATCTAATATCTCCCAGCTCATTGGTCGTTTCCTTCAGCTGGATCGAGTCACCGCCCGGGGATGGAGCCTCACGGAGGTGTTCTGAACACACAGGCCGCACGGAGGCGTTTTTAACGGGAGGAGATCCCAGCATATCAACCCAAATGAAACCCTATTTCCCTACATAGTGCACTACTTTTAACCAGAGCCTATCAAAAGTAGTGCACTGTGTAGGGAATAGGGTGCCATTTTGGAGTGCAGACGCACCACGCACAGCTAGAGTCCCAAAGCTCACGACCGCTACTTAAAGACGGGAACTAGGCCTCAGTCACGCCAAAACCGTCAAAGGCCCTTTTCTCCTTGTTATTCTCAGCACTTCAATAACCTTTGATTTATACTGTAAAATATAACAATGTTTTCTTTGTGCACAGAGACTGTGCGTACCAAATGGCACCCCATTCCCTATATTTATATACATTTAACCAGGTCCTACAGGGCTCTGGTCAAAATGTGGTGCACTTATGTAGGGAACAGGCTACCATTTAGGACGCAAACATTTTCTCCTGCACAGTCGACGGGGTGACTTCGGTCATACCTCTGCTGTGAGACATATTTTACCATCTATCTTTTTTTTAAGGATCTTAAACCCCAAACATCTGCTTTTAGTGACTATTTCAGATTTTAGAGGACCGAGCCCTTTTACAGATGTCCCATCTTAACTTGACCCCTTTCATCGCAGGAAGAAAATAATCCTGTAGCAGGAGAATTTGAATATCTGAAGAAATATTTAAAATGGCCGCCAGAGGGCAGCTGGAAGCGGTGTTTGTAGTGCACACCGTACCTACATAGTACCTTCTGCAGGCTACAGTGCGTCTCATGTGAATTCTTATGCGGGTTATAATAAATGGACATAACTGTCGTTAGGGAAAATCAGTAAAAAAAATAATATATATGTTTTATTATATGTTGAAGGCAAGCAATAGGCTGAATAAATGATTGGTTTCTTCAGTGCCTGTGTTGTCCAGTGCTTACAGCCACTGACCTTGAGTGATGGGTGATTTGAAGGAGTCAGGCGCAGGAGGGTTGATCACAGAATAACAGGATTTATTCCGGAATACAGAGTTACGCACTAATGCGTCAAAACAGTCCAGTGCGCAAAACAGACGCACTGGAACCAAACAGGCACACAGGGAAAATAACCCGGCGATACAAATATACAAGGAGCTCAACCGAGCTTCACTCTCCTCACAATAAACAATCACACACAAAGACAAGGGGGCAGAGGGAACACTTATACAGGTACTGATGAGGGGATATGAACCAGGTGTGTGTAATGAACAAGACAAAACAAATGAAATGATGAGATGAGGAGCGGCAGTGGCAAGAAGGCCGGTGACGACGAACGCCGAAGCCTGCCCGAACCAGGAGAGGAGGCAGCTTCGGAGGAATTCGTGACAGTACCCCCACCTTGACGCACAGCTCCAGCAGCGCGCCAACACCGGCCTCGGGGATGGCCAGCAGGACGCGGAGCAGGGCGAGACGGATGGCGACGGTGGAAATCCCTCAACAGGGAGGGATCGAGGATATCCCTCACTGGGCCACAGCACCGCTCCTACGGACCGCCCCCCTCCCACTCCACGAGGTACTGAAGGCCCCCCACCCAACGCCTCGAATCCAGGATGGAATGGACGGAGTATGCCGGGGCCCCCTCGATGTCCAGAGGAGGCGGAGGGACCTCCCGAACCTCAGACTCCTGGAGTGGACCAGCCACCACCGGCCTGAGCAGAGACACATGGAACAAGGGGTTAATACGATAATCTGGCGGGTGTAATAACCTAAAGGTAACCTCGTTTATTCTCCTCAGGATATTGAACGGCCCCACAAACCATGGGCTCAGCTTCCGGCAGGGCAGGCGGAGGGGCAGATTCCGGGTCGAGAGACAGACCCGATCACCCGGTACAAAGACCGGGGCCTCACTGTGGTGGCGGTTAGCGTTGGCCTTCTGACGACGCACAGCGCGTTGGAGGTGGACGTGAGCAGCGTTCCACGTCTCCTCAGCATGCCAAAACCAGTCATCCACCGCAGGAGCCTCGGTCTGGCTCTGATGCCACAGTGCCAGAACCAGTTGATAACCTAAAACACATTGAAATGGCGTTAGGTTAGTGGAGGAGTAACGGAGAGAGTTCTGGGCATATTCGGCCCATGGCAAGAACACCGACCACTCCCCCGGCCGGTCCTGGCAGTAGGACCGCAGGAACCTACCCACATCATGATTCACCTGTTCCACCTGCCAATTAGACTTGGGGTGAAAACCAGAGGTCAGGCTGACGAGACCCCCAGACGTTCCATGAACGCCTTCCAGACCTTGGATGTGAACTGGGGACCCCGGTCAGACACTATGTCCTCTGGTACCCCGTAGTGCCGGAAGACGTGTGTAAACAGGTCCTCCGCAGTCTGCAGGGCTGTGGGGAGACCGGGCAGAGGAAGGAGGCGGCAGGCTTTGGAAAAGCGGTCCACAATGACCAGGATGGTGGTGTTACCTTGAGAGAGGGGAAGATCAGTAAGGAAATCAATACTCAAGTGGGACCATGGCCGTTGTGGAACTGGTAAAGGCTGTATCTTACCCACTGGGAGGTGCCTAGGTGCCTTACTCTGGGCGCACACCGAGCAGGAGCAGACATACACCCTCACGTCCTTAGACGAGGTAGGCCACCAGTACTTTCTGGTCAGGCAGCGCACAGTACGACCGATACCTGGGTGACCAGAGGAGGGGGTCATCTGTGCCCAATAGATCAGACGGTCACAGACAAGAGCAGGCACGTACTGCAGCCCAGCTGGACACTGAGGTGGAGATGGCTCTGTGCGTAATGCCTGCTCTATATCCGCGTCCATCGGCGCCACAATGCAGGAGGCAGGGTGTATGGGGGTGTCTCCTCTGCGTCTGCCTTCACGTTCTTCGTACCCGGGATGTATGATAGTGTAAAATCAAACCAGGTGAAGAATATGGCCCACCTGGCCTGGTGAGGGTTCTGCCTCCTCGCTGCACGGATGAACTCCAGGTTACGGTGGTCCATCCAGACGAGGAAAGGGTGATTCGCCCCCTCGAGCCAGTGCCTCCACACGGTCAGGGCTCGGACATCAGCCAACAGCTCCCGATCACCAACGTCGTAGTTCTGCTCCGCTGGGCTGAGCTTCTTGGAGAAGAAGGCACAGGGGCGGAGCTTGGGTGCCGTGCCCGAGCGTTGAGGTAGGACTGCGCCTATCCCAACCTCAGACGCATCCACCTCCACTACGAACGGTAGTGATGGATCAGGGTGGGCCAGTACCGGGGCTGAGGTGAACAGACCCCTCAGGTTACTGAAGGCCCTGTCAGCCTCAGCAGACCAGCGGAGCCGGGATGGCCCACCCTTCAACAGAGATGTGATGGGAGCTGCGACCTTGCCAAAGCCCCGGATAAACCTCCGATAGTAGATGGCAAAGCCAATAAAGCGCTGCACCTCCTTTACTGTGGTTGGAGTCGGCCAATTACGCACGGCTGAAATGCGAACTCGCTCCATCTCCACACCTGAGGTGGTAATGAGGTATCCGAGGAAGGAGACGGACTGTTGGAAAAACAGATACTTTTCTGCCTTGTCATAAAGGTCATGTTCCAACAGTCGGGCCAGCACTTTGCGAACCAGGGACACATGCTCGGCGCGCGTAGCAGAATACACCAGAATGTCATCGATGTAGACCACTACACCGCGACCAAGTATGTCCTGAAACACCTCATTCACAAAGGACTGGAAGACTGATGTAGCATTCATCAAACCGTACAGCATCACCAGGTATTCGTAATGCCCCGTGGTGGTGCTGAATGCTGTCTTCCACTTGTCCCCCTCTCGGACATGCACCAGGTTGTACGCACTCCGGAGATCTAATTTTGTGAAGAAGCGCGCCCCATGCATTGACTCGATCACAGATGGAATGAGGGGTAGAGGATAACTAAATCGTATCGTCCCCTTGTTCAGTGATCGGGCTGAATCACCGCCTGGTACGACAACTGCACCGCCCGCAACCCCAGGGCTCTCCAGAGGGTGGTGCGGTCTGCCGAACGCATTACCGGGGGCAAACTACTCGCCCTCCAAGACACATACAGCACCCGATGTCACAGGAAGGCCAAAAAGATCATCAAGGACATCAACCACCCGAGCCACTGCCTGTTCACCCCGCTATCATCCAGAAGGCGAGGTCAGCACAGGTGCATCAAAGCTGGGAACGAGACAATTAAAAACAGCTTCTATCTCAAGGCCATCAGACTGTTAAATAGCCATCACTAGCACATTAGAGGCTGCTGCTGCCTATTGAAATCACTGGCCACTTTAAGAAATGGAATGCTAGTCACTTTAATAATGTTTACATATCTTGTACTACTCATCTCATATGTATATACTGCATTCTATTCTATCATATTCTACTGTATCTTAGTCCATGCCGCTCTGTGCCATTGCTTGTCCATATATGTATATATTCTTAAATTCCATTCCTTACTAGATTTGTGTGGATTGGGTATATGTTGTGAAATTGTTCGATATTACTTGTTCGATATTACTGCACTGTCGGAGCTAGAAGCACAAGCATTTCGCTACACCCGCTACAACATCGGCTAAACACGTGTATGTGACAAATACGATTTTATTTTATTTTATTTGATCGGTAATCAACACAAGGGCGCAGACCTCCGTCTTTCTTCTTCACAAAAAAGAAACTTGAGGAGGCGGGCGAAGTGGAGGGACGTATAAACTCCTGGCGCAGGGACTGAGACATATGTCTCCACAGCCTCCGTTTCAGCTTGTGACAGGGGATACACATGACTCCTTTATCGCGCAATCCCCACCCGATGAGGTGGTAATTTGGTCGCCTGCGTTTTGGAAAACGCATGCGCCAAATCGAGGTATTCGGGGGGAATGGGCACGGTGGAGGTACTGGAATGTATAGGGGAACCAAGGTAATGCCTAGACTATGTGAAAATGACCTGTCCATAAAGTTCCCAGCTGTGCCTGAATCGACCAGTACCTTACACTGGGGAACTATAATGTAATCAGGAAAGTGGATGGGTAGGGTACAGTGTGCAGCAGAGGGCTCTGAACGAGTGTGGGTGTTTGATACCTGGGGTGAAGCGAGAGTGCCCTGCCTGCCGCGTCCAGACCCAAAAGAACGCTGACGACATCGTGCAGTTTCATGATGCAGCTCCATCAGCTCATGATCCGGGTTGGGGGGGTGTGGAACGGGCAGGCCCCCCTCCAGGACGTCCTCTGGCCACCAGCAGGTTGTCCAACCGGATGGCCATGTCCACCAGTTGAGTGAAGGACAACATGGTGTCCCGGCAGGCTAGCTCCCTTCGGACGTCCTTCCGTAGATGGCACCGGAAGTGGTCGATGAGGGCCCGCTCGTTCCACCTGGACCCAGCTGCTAGAGTCCGGAACTCCAGGGCGAAGTCCTGCGCAGTCCTTGTCCCCTGCCTCAGGTGGACCAGCCGCTCGCCCGCCTCTCTACCCTCGAGCGGGTGATCGAAGACAGCCCGAAAGAGGCAAGCGAACTCCCCGTAGTTGTCCAATGCAGTTCCTCCTTCATTCCAGGGCTTTCCCCGAGAGGCAGGAGACGAGGGCGGACAACTTCCCGCTCCGATGGGGCCGGGCTGATGCTTGAATAGTATAGCTCCAGTTGGAGGAGGAATCCCTGGCAGAGAGCAGCTGTCCCGTCGAAATCCCGGGGTCGAGATATATGGATCCCTCTCGGTGCTGGGGTGTGGGTGGCTGGATCCGGTCGCCCAGCTGGTCCCGACAGATCGGGTCCTCTCCTCTCCAGGCGTTGGACGACCTGGAGAACCCGATCCATCGCTTCTCCCAAGCAGGCCAGCATCGTCAACCCGTGCCACGACTCCAGGCATATGCTCCTCTCCTGCTGACTCCATGGCGGTGTGTGATTCTGTGATTCTGTGATTTGAAGGAGTCAGGTGCAGGAGTAAATAAACGATCATCACACCAAGACAACGGGGGTGTATAATAAACAAGACAAAACCAATGGAATGATGAGATGAGGAGCGGCAGCGGCTAGAAGGCCAGTGACGATGAACGCCGAAACCTCCCCGAACCAGGAGAGGAGGCAACTTCGAAGGAAAGTTGTGACACCTTGGCACACATCTGCCAGAGTCGGCACCGGTTTTAAATCCGGCCCACTGCCCTTTGACTCATGAATGACTGTCTATTTTTGACACATTCATTCCGTGTGGTTACAGGGTTAATTCCGCGTAGGGTTACAGGGTTAAAACAGAAACAACTCAACAACTAATTTCACCCGCACAGCTGATCTCAAATTGCAACCATTATTGGTCACCTCATTACCTCTCCCTAAAAGATCATGTTGGTGTTACCTTAGTCGGAGATCTGTATATGATGACGAGATGCTCCTGTCTCCGCCCTAACAATAGGAGTCATTGTCCCAAAGGCAGGAAGGCAGGCGACAAGCTTAGGTCTGCATATTAAGCCCATAGAAACGCATTGGGCTTATTCTGGACAGATTTTGAGTCAACCCTCTCGCTTCGCCTCTTCCTCTCTGCCTTAGTCCTGCTTGCAACCAAAAGTCTTTAAAGATATGTTGGCCCTCTGGTTGGTATTGTCATGGGAACAACAGCCCTTTTTGAACAGATTAAGGGAGATTTATCTATTTGACAATCATTCTGTACAATATAAATAAAGTATTTCCTTGTTTTTCACGGCAAATCTACTGTGGCAATTTACTTGATATTTCATATGAACGGAAACCAATGTTGGTGTAGCCTAATGTTATTTTATTTGTTATCAACAGTGTCTGTCGTGGTCATTTCTTATCAAGATCAGGTGTAAAATATCCCTGGATATTGAAATGTGGAACTAAATCAGGTCAATCAGGGGGATTGAGCAATTTGTGCCAGAAGGGCTGGAATCTGACACTGTAGGCCCAGGCCAGTGAGTGTGGAAGAGGTGAAACAATTGTTGTTGTCTATCAACAATGACAAGCCACCAGGGTCTGATAACTTGGATGGAAAATTACTGAGGACAATAGCGGACGATATTGCCACTCCTATTTGTCATGTCTTCAATTGAAGCCTACTAGAAAGTGTGTGCCCTCAGGCCTGGAGGGAAGCACAAGTTATTCCCCTACCTAGGGATAGTAAAGACCCCTTTACTGGCTCAAACAGCCGACCAATCAGCCTGTTACCAACACTTAGTAAACTTTTGGGGGAAAAATGGTGTTTGACCAGATACAATGCTATTTTACAGTGAACAAATTGACAACAGACTTTCAGCACGCTTATAGGGAAGGACATTCATCAAGCACAGCACTTACACAAATGACTGATGATTGGCTGAGAGAAATTGATGATAAAAAGATTGTGGGGGTTGTTTTGTTAGACTTCAGTGCGGCTTTTGACATTATCGATCATAGTCTGTTGCTGGAAAAACGTATGTGTTATGGCTTTACACCCCCTGCTATATTGTGGATAAAGAGTTACCTGTCTAACAGAACACAGAGGGTGTTCTTTAATGGAAGCCTCTCCAACATAATCCAGGTAGAATCAGGAATTCCCCAGGGCAGCAGTCTAGGCCCCTTACTTTTTTCAATCTTTACCTACGACATGCCACTGGCTTTGAGTAAAGCCAGTGTGTCTATGTATGCGGATGACTCAACACTATACACATCAGCTACTACAGCAACTGAAATAACTGCAACACTTAACAAAGAGCTGCAGTTAGTTTCAGAGTGGAGAAGGATAAGTTATTCCTAAATATTTCTAAAATTAAAAGCATTGTATTTGGGACAAATCATTCACTAAACCCTAAACCTCAACTAAATATTGGAATGAATAATGTGGAAATTTAGCAAGTTGAGGTGACTAAACTGCTTGCAGTAACCCTGTATTGTAAACTGTCACGTTCAAAACATATTGATACAACAGTAGCTAAGATGGGGAGAAGTATGTCCACAATAAAGCGTTACTCTAACTTCTTAACAGCACTATCAACAAGGCAGGTCCTACAGGCCCTAGTTTTGTCGCACCTAGACTACTGTTCAGTCGTGTGGTCTGCCTTGGCAGCAGCTAATGGGGATCCATAATAAATACAAATAAAAATTCTAAATCTTGACCTCAGCTTACACTTGACACTTGTATGTAGCTTTAGTGGAGACCAATATCTATCCTGTGTTATTAAGCTATATAAGACGATGGTTGTTGATGTTTATGGCTGTATTTCAGATACATTTTTGTACATTTGAATGTTGCGGTAATAGTAGCTAGGCGTTTGAGCGAGTGAGAGAGAAAATTATTTTGACAGCAAGCCCTGATCCCAATGACTTGCATGGAGAGAAAGAGAACTGCTCTTTTTTTAGGGACTCACGAGGCTCATTTGAATTTTTTGACCAATTTTATGCTGCATTTCAATTTGCAAAAAAACAGGTGTTTCACATTAGTTTCCTATCAGATTACTGGCACAGTGAAAGCACCTGGATAAAGGTTCATGTTGTCTTTTGATACACAAAAGAGAGGAGGCACAACTTTCTCTCTCTCTCTCTCTCTCTCTCTCTCTTATCAGACAATGTGATTTATAGTAGCTGGATGGCTGCCCAGGTAATCTGAGGAGGTGAGGCTTGTATAGTCAAAAGTAGTGCACTATATAGGGAATAGGGTGCATTCCAGTGGCAGCCCAACAACAAGTCAATCCATTACTCTTTGCATGCCATGCCAGTAATTCAGGAAGTGTCACCATATCTCTGTTGGCTTATAAAACCACAACACACCTGTGGCCAAGCAAAGACAAGAGACAGGAACAATGTTTCAAAGCATCACAGGAATACCAACAAGTATGCAGAGATGTCAGGAGTGTCTCATAAACAGCAGTCACATACAGGAGTGTTACACACACACACACACACACACACACACACACATACACACACGCACAAAGTCAACACTGCACGTGTTTAATGATAACCATGCGAGCAGAAGGAAAAAGTAAACTTGAAAGTGTTCCGTCCGTCGTTAATCTACATTTAATCCCGGTTTACTCGCAGATGATAATCCCAGATCCTGGTTTTTCCGACTCACCCTGGAATCCAGGATGGAGGGTTTAATTAGCCAATCCCACGTCAGGAATTCCCTGGAAATGGAAAAGAATGTTCCTGCCCGTTGAGGAGATTCGGGAATTTAGTGTAAGAACACCCTGTGTGTGAGACCCAAATGACACCCTTTTCCCTTTATAGTGCCCTTAGGGTTCCCTTAGGGCTCTGGTCAAAAGTAGTGCACTATATAGGGGATGGGGTGCCATTTGGCATGCATCCTTAAACTCATTGACTTCTGAGACTACTGTTCAAATACCAGCGCACAAATCAAAAAACATTGATGCATTGGGGGCTGGCTACGGCTAGGAGGTGGAACTACTGCCAAGTCAAATACTTACACAGGTAAAAAGGCAAAACAGTGTAGAAAACTTGTGGTTCAATCTGTCCTTCATCAGTGGTTATATTGAAGAGGAAATCACGGTCAGCGTTGGAGACCAGAACACAAAATAATGAGCCACCCCCACTACAAAAACGTTTTTAATGCAAACAGACCCAGAGGCAGACACAGAGCACAGGCCCTATGGTCCGGACGCCAGAGGCTTCCCCTCAAATAGCAACACTAAGATCCTGTGTGGAAGGTTCATATGAAGAATGTCCAATGGCACCCTGTACCCTACATACAGTAGTGCACTACGTTTGACCAGAGCCCTATGGCATTTGGGACGCGACCGAAGGTTCATATGAAGCAAGACATATGTTTATGCTACAGTAGTTAGTATAAAACCCTGTTCCAACATTTGTAATATATATTATCCTTTTATAACTACCCTATAGCTCTAATACAACTACAAAGTCATTTGTAATATATATTATCCTTTTCATTGTGGCACCACTTATACAACTATAGGAGACCCCTCTTACCCTCTGAAATGCCATTGAGTCTTGATCTGTGTCCCAAATGGCGCCCCATTCCCTACATACAGTAGTACCGTGGGCCCTGTATGAAATAAATCCACTATATAATTAAAAGGGTGGCATTTGGAACAGGCCCATTGAGTCTTGGTGTTGCCTGTTTAACAGGCAAGGTATCAACTCCACCCTCTCCAGAGTTGGCCGTTCTTCTCTCTGCTATCATGCTGGCTCCACCTCTCACCCATAGCAGAGGACTGGGTACCGTAGCAGGGTAACTTTTTATAACCACTGCCGTGCCAGAAGGTTCCTTGGCTCAGGATAATATAGATAAATGCTGTTTGAAAAAGTTGTTCTGACGTGTTTGTCAGAATATGAGTCATATATCTCAAAGTTATAAATTCTCTGGAAGAAGAAAGCTGTCTTTTAGAATAACAGGGAAGGAGTTTCATTGTGACAGTGTTTCTGGTTGTAGGACAGTGTTCCTGGTGGTAGGACAGTGTTCCTGGTGGTATGACAGTGTTTCTGGCAATAGGACAGTGTTCCTGGTGGTAGGACAGTGTTCCTGGCAATAGGACAGTGTTCCTGGTGGTAGGACAGTGTTCCTGGCAATAGGACAGTGTTCCTGGTGGTATGACAGTGTTTCTGGCAATAGGACAGTGTTCCTGGTGGTAGGACAGTGTTCCTGATGGTAGGACAGTGTTCCTGGTGGTAGGACAGTGTTCCTGGTGGTAGGACAGTGTTCCTGGTGATAGGACAGTGTTCCTGGCAATAGGACAGTGTTCCTGGTGGTAGGACAGTATTCCTGGTGGTAGGACAGTGTTTCTGGCAATAGGACAGTGTTCCTGGCAATAGGACAGTGTTCCTGGTGATAAGACAGTGTTCCTGGTGGTAGGACAGAGTTCCTGGTGGTAGGACAGTGTTTCTGTCCTCTGCCATGGCTGAATGTTGGCAGTTCTCCTCTATGCTATCATGCTGGCTCTACCTCTCACCCATAGCAGAGGACTGGGTACCGTAGCAGGGTAACCTTTTATAACCACTGCCGTGCCAGAAGGTTCCTTGGCTCAGGATAATATAGATAAATGCTGTTCGAAAAAGTCGTTCTGACGTGTTTGTCAGAATATGAGTCATATATCTCAAAGTTATAAATTCTCTGGAAGAAGAAAGCTGTCTTTTAGAATAACAGGGAAGGAGTTTCATTGTGACAGTGTTTCTGGTTGTAGGACAGAGTTCCTGGTGGTAGGACAGTGTTCCTGGTGGTATGACAGTGTTTCTGGCAATAGGACAGTGTTCCTGGTGGTAGGACAGTGTTCCTGGTGGTAGGACAGTGTTCCTGGTGGTAGGACAGTGTTCCTGGTGGTAGGACAGTGTTCCTGGTGGTAGGACAGTGTTCCTGGTGGTAGGACAGTGTTCCTGGTGGTAGGACAGTGTTCCTGGCAATAGGACAGTGTTCCTGGCAATATGACAGTGTTTCTGGCAATAGGACAGTGTTCCTGGTGGAAGGACAGTGTTCCTGGCAATAGGACAGTGTTCCTGGAAATAGGACAGTGTTTCTGGCAATAGGACAGTGTTCCTGGTGGTAGGACAGTGTTTCTGGTGGTAGGACAGTGTTCCTGGTGGCAGGACAGTGTTCCTGGTGGCAGGACAGTGTTCCTGGTGGCAGGACAGTGTTCCTGGCAATAGGACAGTGTTGTTGGCGGAAGCGCAAATCCACAGAAATACCATGTACTTTACCATATTATACCACCAGGGGCACAACGTTCACTGGGGACGCATCTTTGTCCCCCCCCCCCAGTTTTATCATTTGAATGTGATACAAAACAGGGCTACGGTTTGCTTTAGGACCATGCGGACGCCTCCGAGCGGTCGGGTAGGCTATTTGGAGTGTTTATCTGACTGGATAGATTAAAACTTTATTTCAAAATCCAAAGTGGTGCCCCTGTATACCACTAACCACTCTACAGCACCCCACAGGCTCTACTACCCCTAACCCCATTACCCCTAACTCACCCCCCATTACCCCTAACTCACCCCCCACACTACCCTAATCACCCCCCACTACGCCCTACTCACCCCCATTACCCCTAACTCACCCCCCAGACCCGAAACCCCCCACTACCCAAACCCCCCACTACCCAACCACCCCCCAAACTACCCCCCAATCCGAAACCCCAACTAAAACCCCCCACGACCCCACAACCCCAATACCCCTAACTCAACCCCCCATTACCCTAAACTCACCCCCCCCTACCAACTAACCCCCCCCCTAACTCACCCCCCACTACCCCTAACTAACCCCCCCCCACACCCCAATAACTCATAAACCAAAAAACCGAACAAAACAACAGAAAACAAAAAAAACTCAAAATAAAAACCCCAACCCCCCACAAAAACCCTAAAAACCCCCAAAAACCCCCACAAAACCCCCCCAAAAAAAAAAAAAAGAAAAAAAGAAAAACCAAAAACCAAACAACCCGAACTCACCCCCCATCCCAAACAACCCAAAACCAAACAAACCCTAAACCAGAACCCACCATATAAATAAACCCCAATACCCTAATAACCACTCATAATAAACACTACCAACCCCCAACCACCCCAAACTCACCCCCACAGACCCAATACACCCCCACACCCAACCACCCCACTAACCCGAACCACCCCCAAAACCCTAACACCCCCATAACCCCAAACTACCCCCACCTAAATAACCACCATAAAACCACCCAACACACCCTAACTCACCCCCCACAAACCCCAACCACCCCCCAACACCAAACTCACCCCCACACCCTAACACCCCCATACACAACCACCCCAAACCCCTAACTCACCCCCCACTACCCTAATCACCCCCCACACCCTAACTCACCCCCACACCCGACCACCCAATACCCCAACCCACCCCCCACTACCCCGAACTCACCCCCCATACCCCGAACCACCCCCACTACCCCAACTCACCCCCCCAGTACCCCTAACTAACCCCCCACTACCCCTAACTCACCCCCACTACCCTAATCCACCCCCACTACCCCAACCACCCCACTACCCCGAACCACCCCCCTACACCCTAACTCACCCCCACTACCCCTAACGCACCCCCACTACCCCGAACCACCCCCCGACTGACCCCAACTCACCCCCCTACTACCCCTAACTCACCCCCATGACCCCTAACCACCCCCCACACCCCTAACTCACCCCCCACTACCCCTACTCCCCCCCCACTACCCCTAACTCACCCCCCTACTTACCCCTAACTCCCCCCTACTACCCCTAACTCACCCCCCATTACCCTGGCCTACCCCCCGAGTCATAAATCTCTTCCACCTGTATTGTAATCCTGTATTGTATTTTACAGTATTGTACGTGTATTGTAGTGGTCCTGTTTGTTGCTCAGTTCATAAGAGCATGGCACTAGCAACACCAGAGTTGCGGGTTCGATTCCCACTGGGGTCACATACCAAAATGTATTGGCTGTTGTCACTTAGGATAAAAGTGTCTGCTACGTAAATGGCATATATTACAGTATTACAGTACTGTATTGGCCTATATTACGGTATTACAGTACTGTATTGGCCTATATTACGGTATTACAGTACTGTATTGGCCTATATTACGGTATTACAGTACTGTATTGGCCTATATTACAGTATTACAGTACTGTATTGACTTATATTACGGTATTACAGTACTGTATTGACTTATATTACGGTATTACAGTACTGTATTGACCTATATTACGGTATTACAGTACTGTATTGACCTATATTACGGTATTACAGTACTGTATTGGCCTATATTATGGAATTACAGTACAGTACTCGGAGCGCTACGGACAATTCCTTTGACTTCATGGCTTGGTTTTTGCTCTGACATGCATTGTCAACTGTGGGACCTTATATAGACAGGTGTGTGACAAATCATGTCCAATCAATTGAATTTACCACAGGTGGACTCCAATCAAGTTGTAGAAACATCTTAAGGATGATTAATGGAAACAGGATGCACCTGAGCTCAATTTCGAGTCTCATAGCAAAGGGTCTGAATACTTATGTAAATAAGGTATTTCTGTTTATTATTTTTTATAAATTTGCAAACATTTCTAAAAACCGGTTTTTGCTTTGTCATTATGGAGTATTGTGTGTAGATTGATGAGGAAAATGTTTTATTTAATCCATTTTAGAATAAGGCTGCAACGTAACAAAATGTGGAAAAAGTCAAGGGGTCTGAATACTTTCCGAATACACTGTATTGCAATGTGTATGAAAATGTATGCACTCACTAACTGTAAGTCACTCTGAATAAGAGCGTCTGCTAAATGACTAAAATGTAAAAAAATGTAAAAAATTAAGTTTGGTGTTGTACTAAGTCAATTGAAAATGTGCTTAGAGTTTTGAAACAACTTCCCTTTTGTTGATCTGTTTTGAGTTTTGTACTAAGAGTTGTGAAAATTGACCACATACTTGTGAAAATTGCACCAAAAGCGATAAAAATAAAACTGTCATGAAGATAAAATGACTTACAAACCTCTCCAGAAAAACTCCATGGTTGTATCCTCAGCCTGGTCTCATAGACCAGACGTAGCATAATAAATGTAAATCCAGGACCCTCAAATTAGGATGATATGTTACGTTTGGTATGGTTACATGAGGCAGGTGGTTACTTAAGGCCAAAATGAAAGTAGGGTGGGTGGTTGGTTGGTCAGTGTGAATGGATGGATGGACGGGGGCAACCTAAAGGTTGTATGTTCGAATCTCATCACGGACAACTTTAGCATTTAGACCCATGGGGCGGCGCGCAATTGGCCCAGCGTCGTCCAGGGTAGGGGAGGGAAAGGCCGGCAGGGATGTAGCTCAGTTGGTAGAGCATGGCGTTTGCAACGCCAGGGTTGTGGGTTCGATTCCCACAGGGGGTATGAAAAAAATGAATAATGTATGCACTCACTAACTGTAAGTCGCTCTGGATAAGAGCGTCTGCTAAATGACTAAAATGTAAAATGTAAAAATGTTAGCTAATTAGCAAGGGTTGTGGGTTCGATTCCCACGGGGGGCCAGTATGAAAATGTATGCACTCACTAACTGTAAGTCGCTCTGAATAAGAGCGTCTGCTAAATGACTAAACTGTAAACTGTACTTTTTAGCTACTTTGTAACTACTTAACATGTTAGCTAACCCATCCCCTAACCTTAACCCTAACTCCTATCCTAGCTAATGTTAGCCACCTAGCTAATGTAGTATCGAGTAAATACTGGCAATTATTGCTGATAAACAAAGGAGTCCGCTCATACTGAACCTTTGATCATAAGTTTATTCATATCACAAGATTCCAGCATAAGTGACGGATGTCATGACACCCGGAGAGCAGTGTCCTCGAATTGTAATGTCTGCTCTAACCTCTTCTTCATCTAGCATATACTTATAAACAATGCAAAAATATGGGTTGCTCCCTCTGCTGTCCAATCACCTGTCTCCCCTGGGGCGTCACCCTACAAATGGCTACTTTTGAACTAAGATAAACATCCCCTCTTTGTTCCTCTAGAATAGTCATAATCTTAATACACTACATTCCCCCCTTCGAGACGAACTAAAAGTCTCGAAAACAAACAAAACAGGATTATGACAAGTAACAATTTATCTTATTGAGTATCTTTAACATTAAACCAAAAAACATTTTTCTCTAGAGTGTAAATACCTTTCTATGAAATATGAATAACTGTTTATGAAGTGTGAATACATCACTATGAAATATGAACAAATCTTTATGAAGTGTGAATACATTACTATGAAATATGAACACATCTTTCTGGAGTGTAAGAGCGAAAAACTGTCTGGCAGCCATCTTTCCAGATATCCATCCATCAATCAAGACAGTAAAATTCTCTCACGGTCCCTCTGCCCCAGGCAACCACCTAGGTACTCCCGATGAGCTCATAAATCCTTATCAATGCATTTGAAACTATGATGCAATTAAATACACATGTAAGCCCCTGCAAACAAAATACTATCCAAAATGTCCACTCTAAGGCTGGTCAACCCATCGGACCCTATAGTGGACCTCTATCCCTGCCTAGACTCCCTGTCCCTAAGCATTCACGAAATAAACAAAAACATCTAAGATCCCCACATCTATTCAATAACATCAAATATCCTTCTACAAAAATTAATACCTAAGAATATGACACAAATTATGTATTACACATGCAAATATGTCTATATTTCATTGCAGACACTGGAATGTAGTCCACTACACTTCATCTCCTCCGTAGTCTCCTCTTCCAATGCATTGTTGATGATGGAATCGGAATCTTTCCACACCTTCCTTGCTCCATCTCCTCCAGTCATTCTCCTTTCATATTGTCCCTTCATATTGTCCTTGTTTGAGTATTTCCATCTCTACATATTCCCCCAAATGCTTCTGGAAGAAAAGAAAAGACCAAACAGTATATTTTGCAAAACAACACTTTCAAATTAAACATCAATATCAACTAAGAATACGTTAGCGTTAGCCACCATTACCCACAACAAATCGGAATTTGTAATATATCATATGTTTTGCAAATTCGTAACATATTGTATGAATTGCGATTTCGTAGCATATCATACAAATTGTAATTCTTGACATATCACACAAAATGGATGATGGACATCCACAAATTAATACATACCATACAAAACCTACTTCTTACCAGAACGCTATGGCCAACTCTACAGGCCCTGGTCAAAAGTAATGCACTACATAGGGAATAGGATGGCATTTGAAATACAGAATACCAACCTGGACTCAAGGGTAGACATAACATATTAAAAGGAAAACCAGAACACGCCAATTAGAATGATATGTTATGGTGGTAATAATAATAATAATATGCCATTTAGTAGACGCTTTTACCCAAAGCGACTTACAGTCATGTGTGCATACATTTTTACGTATGGGTGGTCCCGGGGATCGAACCCACTACCTTGGTATTACAAGCGCCGTGCTCTACCAATTGAGCTACAGAGGACACGTTATTTGGACAGTCCATCTGTAGCTGCTCAAAAGACTATCTGCGGACTATCAGTAATATTTAAATCTACTAACCCTAACCCATATCTTAACCCTTACCCTACCCCTAACCCTAACCCAGTATTAATTTTGGCACTCTTATTAAAATGTAGTCTAGTCTTAGTCATTTTGACTAAAATATCATTAAATCGTTAGTCGTATTTTTGTAATTTGAATAATGATTTCGTCTAGTTATTGTTAAAGTGACAAAAACAGTCTATCATTTTAGTAAACTAAATGCCCTTTAATTCTTGTTACATTTTAGTCCCATAACATTTGCATTGCATCTTTAACCTATAGTAAACATAAATCCCTGACTTCCATGTGCACAAACATACATACCCTTGTCCTACCAACATATTGTTCTGCATAACATCCTATTTTTTCCCAAAAGCAGAAATATGACAAACATATATTAGAATAATGTTATATTATATAAGAATTATCTGGCCATGTAAATCCCTAATTCAGCTTACATGTATATTATACATTACAAACAAATCAAACAGACACACACAAGTAGTGATGTAAATGTAAATGTAGAGAGAGAGAGAGAGAGAGAGAGAATCACCAGATGGTGCCTTAAGAAAGTATTCATATCCCTTCATTCCCTTATATTCCCTTATTTCATTTGACTTTATTCCAAATGTTGTGTTTTCTCACCCATCATCTGCACACAAATCAAATCAAATCAAATCAGATGTTATTTGCCATATTCGCCGAATACAACAGGTGTAGTAGACCTTACAGTGAAATGCTTACTTTACAAGCCCTGAACCAGCAATGCAGTTTCAAGAAAAGAAAAAAAGTGTTAACTAAAAAATTGATAAGTAAAAAATAATTAAAGAGCAGCAGTAAAATAAAACAACAGTAGGGAGGCAATATACAGGGGGGTACCGGTACAGAGGCAATGTGCACCGGTTCATCAAAGTAATTGAGATAATACGTACATGTAGGTAGAGTTAAAGTGACTATGCATAGATAATAAACAAAATAGCAGCAGCGTAAAATAGGGGGTGGGGTGGGGGGGGACAATGCAAATAGTCCGGGTAGCCATGATTAGCTGTACAGGAGTCTTATGGCTTGGGGGTAGAAGCTGTTAAGAAGCCTTTTGGACCTAGACTTGGCGCTCCGGTACCGCTTGTCGTGCGGTAGCAGAGAAAACAGTCTATGACTAGGGTGGCTGGAGTCTTTGACAATTTGTAGGGCCTTCCTCTGACTCCGCATGGTATAGAGGTCCTGGATGGCAGGAAGCTTGGCCCCAGTGATGTACTGGGCCGTACACACTACCCTCTGTAGTGCCTTGCGGTCGGAGGCCGAGCAGTTGCCATACCAAGCGGTGATGCAACCACTCAGGATGCTCTTGTTGGTGCAGCTGTATAACTTTTTGAGGATCTGAGGACCCATGCCAAATCTTTTCAGTCTCCTGAGGGGGAATAGGCTTTGTCGTGCCCTCTTCACGACTGTCTTGGTGTGTTTGGACCATGTTAGTTTGTTGGTGATGTGGACACCAAGGAACTTGAAGCTCTCAACCTGGTCCACTACAGCCCTGTCGATGAGAATGGGGGCGTGCTCAGTCCTCTTTTTTTTCCTGTAGACCACAATCATCTCCTTTGTCTTGGTCACGTTGAGGGAGAGGTTGTTATCCTGGCACCACACCACCAGGTCTCTGACCTCCTCCCTATAGGCTGTCTCATCGTTGTCGGTGATCAGGCCTGCCACTGTTGTGTCATCGGCAAACTTAATGATGGTATTGGAGTCGTGCCTGGCCATGCAGTCATGGGTGAACAGGGAGTACAGGAGGGGACTGAGCATGCACCCCTGAGGGGCCCCCGTGTTGAGGATCAGCGTGGCAGATGTGTTGTTACCAACCCTTACCACCTAGGGGCGGCCATTCAGGAAGTCCAGGATCCAGTTGCAGAGGGAGGTGTTTAGTCCCAGGGTCCTTAGCTTAGTGATGAGCTTTGTGGGCACATAATGAGAAAACATGTTTTTAGAAACATGTTTTTAGAAATATTTGCAATTTTATTGAAAATGAAGTACAGAAATATCTCATTTACATAAGTATTCATATCCCTTTGCTATGACACTCCGAATTGTGCTCAGGTGCATCTAATTTCCATTGATCATCCTTGAGATGTCGCTACAACTTGATTGGAGTCCACCTGTGGCCGATTCAAATGTTTGGATGTGATTTAGAAAGAAAAACACCTGTCTATATAAGGTCCCACAGTTGACAATGTCAGAGCAGGAACTATTCCATGAAGTCCATAGAAGGAACTGTCTGTAGATCTCCGAGATAGAATTGTGATGAGGCACCAGTCAAAAGTTTGGACACACCTACTCATGCAAGAGTTTTTCTTGATTTGTAAAATTTTTCAAATTGTAGAATAATAGTGAAGACATCAAAACTATGAAATAACACATATGGAATCATGTCGTAAACAAGAAAGTGTTAAACAAATCAAAATATATTTTATATTTGAGATTCTTGAAACAGCCACCCTTTGCATTGATGACAGCTTTGCCACCAAAGGTGCTGACAAAAAGTATTGACCCAGGGATGTGAATAATTATGTAAATGAGATTTCTGTATTTCATTTTCAATACATTTGCTAACATTTCAAAAATATATATTTTCACTTTGTCATTATGGGGTATTGTGTTTGTGTGTAGATGGGTGTGAGAAAAAAAGGCTGTACACAACAAAATGTGGAAGAAGTCTAGGGGTATGAGTACTTTCTTAAAGCACTGTAAATCAAATGAAAACGTGATTGCCTCACAGCAATGGGTCAGTAGGTGTGGTTCGCTCGGCACAGCAGACGACGGATAGTGATCATGTGGATTAAACTACATTTAGCCTTGTCTCCAGGGATTGTGCTTGGCTAGGCGCTGCTATACCCTGAGCCAAAACCCTGACAGTGGAGCCAGAGGTTGTGTGCTAAAGGGCACCCTTTTCCCAACGTAGTGCACTAGCTTTGACCAGGGCCCATAGGACTATGGTCAAAAGTAGTGCACTATATAGGGAATATGGTGCCATTTGGGACACTTCTAGAGAGAGAGAGAGAGAGAGAGAAAAAGACAGATGATGAAGATGTGGTGGAGAGAACCAGTAGTCCCTGATCCGCTGCCTTACTGTGGAGGAGAGAAACAGTAGTCCCTGATCCGCTGCCTTACTGTGGAGGAGAGAGACAGTAGTCCCTGATCCGCTGCCTTACTGTGGAGGAGAGAGACAGTAGTCCCTGATCCGCTGCCTTACTGTGGAGGAGAGAACCAGTAGTCCCTGATCCGCTGCCTCACTGTGGTGGAGAGAACCAGTAGTCCCTGATCCGCTGCCTTACTGTGGAGGAGAGAAACAGTAGTCCCTGATCCGCTGCCTTACTGTGGAGGAGAGAAACAGTAGTCCCTGATCCGCTGCCTTACTGTGGAGGAGAGAACCAGTAGTCCCTGATCCGCTGCCTTACTGTGGAGGAGAGAACCAGTAGTCCCTGATCCGCTGCCTTACTGTGGAGGAGAGAACCAGTAGTCCCTGATCCGCTGCCTTACTGTGGAGGAGAGAACCAGTAGTCCCTGATCCGCTGCCTTACTGTGGAGGAGAGAACCAGTAGTCCCTGATCCGCTGCCTTACTGTGGAGGAGAGAAACAGTAGTCCCTGATCCGCTGCCTTACTGTGGAGGAGAGAAACAGTAGTCCCTGAGATACTGCCTTACTGTGGAGGAGAGAAACAGTAGTCCCTGATCCGCTGCCTTACTGTGGAGGAGAGAACCAGTAGTCCCTGATTCGCTGCCTTACTTTGGAGGAGAGAAACAGTAGTCCCTGATCCGCTGCCTTACTGTGGAGGAGAGAACCAGTAGTCCCTGATCCGCTGCCTTACTGTGGAGGAGAGAAACAGTAGTCCCTGATCCGCTGCCTTACTGTGGAGGAGAGAACCAGTAGTCCCTGATCCGCTGCCTTACTGTGGAGGAGAGAAACAGTAGTCCCTGATCCGCTGCCTCACTGTGGAGGAGAGAAACAGTAGTCCCTGATCCGCTGCCTCACTGTGGAGGAGAGAAACAGTAGTCCCTGATCCGCTGCCTTACTGTGGAGGAGAGAAACAGTAGTCCCTGATCCGCTGCCTTACTGTGGAGGAGAGAACCAGTAGTCCCTGATCCGCTGCCTTACTCTGGAGGAGAGAAACAGTAGTCCCTGAGATACTGCCTTACTTTGGAGGAGAGAAACAGTAGTCCCTGATCCGCTGCCTTACTGTGGAGGAGAGAAACAGTAGTCCCTGATCCGCTGCCTCACTGTGGAGGAGAGAACCAGTAGTCCCTGATCCGCTGCCTTACTGTGGAGGAGAGAACCAGTAGTCCCTGATCCGCTGCCTTACTGTGGAGGAGAGAACCAGTAGTCCCTGATCCGCTGCCTTACTGTGGAGGAGAGAACCAGTAGTCCCTGATCCGCTGCCTTACTGTGGAGGAGAGAAACAGTAGTCCCTGATCCGCTGCCTTACTGTGGAGGAGAGAACCAGTAGTCCCTGATCCGCTGCCTTACTGTGGAGGAGAGAACCAGTAGTCCCTGATCCGCTGCCTTACTGTGGAGGAGAGAACCAGTAGTCCCTGATCCGCTGCCTTACTTTGGAGGAGAGAAACAGTAGTCCCTGATCCGCTGCCTTACTGTGGAGGAGAGAACCAGTAGTCCCTGATCCGCTGCCTTACTGTGGAGGAGAGAAACAGTAGTCCCTGATCCGCTGCCTTACTGTGGAGGAGAGAACCAGTAGTCCCTGATCCGCTGCCTTACTGTGGAGGAGAGAAACAGTAGTCCCTGATCCGCTGCCTCACTGTGGAGGAGAGAAACAGTAGTCCCTGATCCGCTGCCTCACTGTGGAGGAGAGAAACAGTAGTCCCTGATCCGCTGCCTTACTGTGGAGGAGAGAAACAGTAGTCCCTGATCCGCTGCCTTACTGTGGAGGAGAGAAACAGTAGTCCCTGATCCGCTGCCTTACTGTGGAGGAGAGAAACAGTAGTCCCTGATCCGCTGCCTTACTGTGGAGGAGAGAGACAGTAGTCCCTGATCCGCTGCCTTACTGTGGAGGAGAGAAACAGTAGTCCCTGATCCGCTGCCTTACTGTGGAGGAGAGAAACAGTAGTCCCTGATCCGCTGCCTCACTGTGGAGGAGAGAAACAGTAGTCCCTGATCCGCTGCCTTACTGTGGAGGAGAGAACCAGTAGTCCCTGATCCGCTGCCTCACTGTGGAGGAGAGAACCAGTAGTCCCTGAGATATTGCCTTACTCGATCCATATGGCAGGAAATACCCACCTCACAGTTATCAGGGAAGAGGAGAGAGAGGGAGATCTACCCATAAAGCAGTGGTGGGAAAAGTACTTGATTGTTATATTTGAGTAAAAAATAAAGATACATTAAGGTCGATGTCCACTTATCCCGATGAAATCGAATTAGCATTAAAATCACAATTTAACCAACACCCATCTATTGTTGTGACTACCTGGACCTACCAATTGGTTTTGAAGTATTGAAACCAAACCATGTGGATTTGAATGAAAAGCATTTGAATAAACATGAAAAGGTGAATGTAAGAAGCGAACATAATTTTTAAATAGGATACATGTCGTATTAAAACAGCATATAAACACTCTAAATGGGTCAGGAGCCAGACAGGGAGCCTAAGAAGGAACAAAAATGAATTATTAAGGCTATATTATTTCAATATAACCTACAAAGAAATATATTGTGAATTAGTAGCCAGTGCGACACAACAGGCTGATAGGGACATTAAGCGCTCAGCATTTAATCAACGTTTTGCTGTATTAAATCATTATAGTCTATACATTGCGCATACAGGCCGTGACTTACTAAGAATTAAATACAAATTCAACAAAAAATGACTTTTAAATTCATTTTTTGAATTCATTTAGTAGAAACACGAGTTTGGCCAGTCTGTGGCTTTAGGCTAATGCGATGGTGCCTGGAGAGCCGGCCAGCAGCAGAGAACATCCTCTCCATGGTGCCTGGAGAGCTGGCCAGCAGCAGAGAACATCCTCTCCATGGTGCCTGGAGAGCTGGCCAGCAGCGGAGAACATCCTCTCCATGGTACCTGGAGAGCAGGCCAGCAGCGGAGAACATCCTCTCCATGGTACCTGGAGAGCAGGCCAGCAGTGGAGAACATCCTCTCCATGGTACCTGGAGAGCAGGCCAGCAGTGGAGAACATCCTCTCCATGGTACCTGGAGAGCAGGCCAGCAGTGGAGAACATCCTCTCCATGGTGCCTGGAGAGCCGGCCAGCAGCGGAGAACATCCTCTCCATGGTGCCTGGAGAGCTGGCCAGCAGTGGAGAACATCCTCTCCATGGTGCCTGGAGAGCAGGCCAGCAGCGGAGAACATCCTCTCCATGGTGCCTGGAGAGCAGGCCAGCAGTGGAGAACATCCTCTCCATGGTACCTGGAGAGCAGGCCAGCAGCGGAGAACATCCTCTCCATGGTGCCTGGAGAGCAGGCCAGCAGCGGAGAACATCCTCTCCACGCTTGAAGAGCCACCGGGGATACTAAACACCCTTTTGGCCACGCTTGCCAGGCTGGGCAGAGACACAGTTTTTTGTTTTTTTTGTTTCTATAGGTAGGCCTAAAGGTTTTTAGGCAAAATAACCCAATCAAAACGGAAAGCTCCTTGAACGTGGGAATATACCAGGCCTATTGAGCCAAAATCAATGATGGCCTATTGTATAGATAATAGAACGAAAATGAACGAAATGTTTAAGAGATCTGATTTTTAGTTTATAAATACTTTGCTACAATGACACAGTTATCTACCCACCTCGTTCTTTTAGCATGTGAACGTAGTAAGTACACCATCATGCTTTCGGGGTACGTGTCTTTTCAGATTCCACAATGATTATTTAGTCGTGGACACTACATCACCACACTCTCTTGCTCTTGGTCCTCATCTTCGTAAGTCACCTTGATTTAGCACCTGTGTGTTTTATCAGTTTCTTTATGAAAATATTTAGTGAACTCCATGACAGTAGCTAAAGCAAGGGGCTACAGCAGCACACAAGTAGACTACAGATGCATGCTGGGACGGAGCACGCTTTGAGTTCAGGAAGAGAACGCTACTGGAGAACTACTGGGGCCGAATTGGAGCGGGCGAGAAGGCCGAATTGGAGCGGGCGAGAAGGCCGAATTGGAGCGGGCGAGAAGGCCGAATTGGAGCGGGCGAGAAGGCCGAATTGGAGCGGGCGAGAAGGCCGAATTGGAGCGGGCGAGAAGGCCGACGCTCCAGTCTTTTGGAATCTCGCTCCAGTCAAATTGGGCTCCGCTCTTCGCTCCGGCTCCGCACTTCGCTCCGGCTCCGCTCCGCTCAAATACTGGTACTGGTCTGATGTCGGTACAGCTGATCTGCCAACTTCTGTCTGAAAATACGACCCCTCTGTGCAATGAAATGTTTGCAAATGTATAAAAAACAGAAATACCTTAGTTACATAAGTATTCAGACCCTTTCCTATGAGACTGGAAATGGAGCTCAGGTGCATCCTGTTTCCGTTGATCATCCTTGAGATGTTTATACAACTTGATTGGAGTCCACCTGTGGTAAATTCAATTGATTGGAAATGATTTGGAAAGGCACACACGTCTATATAAGGTCCCACAGATGACAGTGCATGTCAGAGCAAAAACCAAGCCATGAGGTCGAAGGACAGCATTGTGTCGAGGCACAGATCTGGGGAAGGGCACCAAAAAAATTCTGCAGCATTGAAAGTCCTCAAGAACACAGTGGTCTCCATCATTCTAAAATGGAAGAAGTTTGGAACCACCAAGTCTCTTTTTAGAGCTGGACTCCATGCCAATTTGAGCAATCGGGGGAGAAGAGCCTTGGTCAGGGAGGTGAGCAAGAACCCGATGGTCACTCTGACAGAGCTCTAGAGTTCCTCTGTGGAGATGGGAGAACCTTCCAGAAGGACAACCATCTCTGCAGCACTCCACCAATCAGGCCTTTATGGTAGAGTGGCCAGACGGAAGCCACTCCTCAGTAAAAGGCACACGACAGCCTGCTTGGAGTTTGCCAAAAGTCACCTAAAGACTCTCAGACCATGGAAAACAAGATTCTCTGGTCTGATGAAACCAAGATTGAACTCTTTGGCCCGAATGCCAAGCATCACGTCTGGAGGAAACCTGGCACCATCCCTAAAGTGAAGCATGGTGGTGGCAGCATCATGCTTTGGGGATGTTTTTCAGTGGCAGGATTGGGAGACTAGTCAGGATCGAGGGAAAGATGAACGGAGCAAAGTAGAGAGAGATCCTTGATGAAAACCTGCTCCAGAGCGCTCAGGACCTCAGACAGGGGCGAAGGTTCACCTTCCAACAGGACAACGACCCTAAGCACACAGCCAAGACAATGCATTAGTGGCTTCAGGACAAGTCTCTGAATGTCCTTGAGTGGCCCAGCCAGAGCCCGGACTTGAACCCGATCGAACATCTCTGGAGAGCCCTGAAAATAGCTGTGCAGAGCTTGTGCAGAGCTTGAGAGGATCTGCAGAGATGAATGGGAGAAACTCCCCAAATACAGTTGTGCCAAGCTTGTAGCGTCATACCCAAGAAGACTTGATGATGTAATCGTTACCAAAGGTGCTTCAACAAAGTATTTGACCAGTAGTCTATATATACAGTGGGGAAAAAAGTATTTAGTCAGCCACCAATTGTGCAAGTTCTCCCACTTAAAAAGATGAGAGAGGCCTGTAATTTTCATCATAGGTACACATCAACTATGACAGACAAATTGAGGAAAGAAATCCAGAAAATCACATTGTAGGATTTTTAATGAATTTATTTGCAAATTATGGTGGAAAATAAGTATTTGGTCACCTACAAACAAGCAAGATTTCTGCCTGTAACTTCTTCTTTAAGAGGCCCCTCTGTCCTCCACTCGTTACCTGTATTAATGGCACCTGTTTGAACTTGTTATCAGTATAAAAGACACCTGTCCACAACCTCAAACAGTCACACTCCAAACTCCACTATGGCCAAGACCAAAGAGCTGTGAAAGGACACCAGAAACTAAATTGTAGACCTGCAACAGGCTGGGAAGACTGAATCTGCAATAGGTAAGCAGCTTGGTTTGAAGAAATCAACTGTGGGAGCAATTGTTAGGATATGGAAGACATACAAGACCACTGATAATCTCCCTCGATCTGGGGCTCCACGCAAGATCTCACCCCGTGGGGTCAAAATGATCACAAGAACGGTGAGCAAAAATCCCAGAACCACACGGGGGGACCTAGTGAATGACCTGCAGAGAGCTGGGACCAAAGTAACAAAGCCTACCATCAGTAACACACTACGCCGCCAGGGACTCAAATCCTTCAGTGCCAGACGTGTCCCCCTGCTTAAGCCAGTACATGTCCAGGCCCATCTGAAGTTTGCTAGAGTGCATTTGGATGGTCCAGAAGAGGATTGGGAGAATGTCATATGGTCAGATGAAACCAAATAGAACTTTTTGGTAAAAACTCAACTCGTCGTGTTTGGAGGACAAAGAATGCTGAGTTGCATTCAAAGAACACCATACCTACTGTGAAGCATGGGGGTGGAAACATCATGCTTTGGGGCTGTTTTTCTGCAAAGGGACCAGGACGACTGATCCGTGTTAAGGAAAGAATGAATGGGGCCATGTATCGTGAGATTTTGAGTGAAAACCTCCTTCCATCAGCAAGGGCATTGAAGATGAAACGTGGCTGGGTCTTTCAGCATGACAATGATCCCAAACACACCGCCCGGGCAACGAAGGAGTGGCTTCGTAAGAAGCATTTCAAGGTCCTGGAGTGGCCTAGCCAGTCTCCAGATCTCAACCCCATAGAAAATCTTTGGAGGGAGTTGAAAGTCCGTGTTGCCCAGCGACAGCCCCAAAACATCACTGCTCTAGAGAAGATCTGCATGGAGGAATGGGCCAAAATACCAGCAACAGTTTGTGAAAACCTTGTGAAGACTTACAGAAAACGTTTGACCTGTGTCATTGCCAACAAAGGGTATATAACAAAGTATTGAGAAACTTTTGTTATTGACCAAATACTTATTTTCCACCATAATTTGCAAATAAATTCATAAAAAATCCTACAATGTGATTTTCCGGAGAAAAAAAAACTCATTTTGTCTGTCATAGTTGACGTGTACCTATGATGAAAATTACAGGCCTCTCTCATCTTTTTAAGTGGGAGAACTTGCACAATTGATGGCTGACTAAATACTTTTTTTCCCCACAGTATATACACATCTTTTTAAAATATATTTTCCTTGATTATTTTCCACTAGCACTACCAACCCTCCCCTAATCGGAGTAAACTAATGAACAGCAACACTTAGGCTTCTACTTCCAGCTTAAACATACTATATACATTTTACAGACACAAGAGGGGAGGAGAGGGAGGCCTACCCATCTAGAGAGGGGAGAGGAGAGGGAGGCCTACCTATCTAGAGAGGGGAGAGGAGAGGGAGGCCTACCTATCTAGAGAGAGGAGAGGAGAGGGAGGCCTACCCATCTAGAGAGAGGAGAGGGAGGTCTACCCATCTAGAGATGGGAGTGAATAAGCAAATGGCGCCGGAGAAGATGGCTGCCGTTTTACAGCCCTCTAACCAATTGTACTATTATGTGTGTTTTTTCGCGTTATTTGTAATTTATTCTGTACATAATGTTTCTGCCACCGTCTCTTATGACCAAAAAGAGATTCTGGATATCAGGACAGCGATTACTCACCTCGTATTGGACGAAGATTTTTTCTTCAACGAGTTGGACACGAAGGATATTCTACAGACACCCGACAAGGCCCAAATCTCTGTCATTCGCATGAGAAAGAGACTGAGATATCGTGGACATACAGTGAGGGAAAAAAGTATTTGATCCCCTGCTGATTTTGTACGTTTGCCCACTGACAAAGAAATGATCAGTCTATATTTTTAATGGTAGGTTTATTTGAACAGTGAGAGACAGAATAACAACAACAAAAAATCCAAAAAAACAAATGTCAAAAATGTTATAAAATGATTTGCATTTTAATGAGGGAAATAAGTATTTGACCCCTCTGCAAAACATGACTTAGTACTTGGTGGCAAAACCCTTGTTTTTGCAGATCTTCTCCAAGTAATTAAGGTTTCGAGGCTGACGTTTGGCAACTCGACCTTCAGCTCCCTCCACAGACTTTCTATGGGATTAAGGTCTGGAGACTGGCTAGGCCACTCCAGGACCTTAATGTGCTTCTTCTTGAGCAACTCCTTTGTTGCCTTGGCGGTGTGTTTTGGGTCATTGTCATGCTGGAATACCCATCTACGACCCATTTTCAATACCCTGGCGAGGGAAGGAGGTTCTCACCCAAGATTTGACGGTACATGGCCCCGTCCATCGTCCCTTTGATGCGGTGAAGTTGTCCTGTCCCCATAGCAGAAAAACACCCCCAAAGCATAATGTTTCCACCTCCATGTTTGACGGTGGGGATGGTGTTCTTGGGGTCATAGGCAGCATTCCTCCTCCTCCAAACACGACAAGTTGAGTTGATGCCAAAGAGATCCATTTTAGTCTCATCTGACCACAACACTTTCACCCAGTTCTCCTCTGAATCATTCAGATGTTCATTGGCAAACTTCAGACGGGCCTGTATATGTGCTTTCTTGAGCAGGGGGACCTTGCGGGCGCTGCAGGATTTCAGTCCTTCATGGCGTAGTGTGTTACCAATTGTTTTCTTGGTGACTATGGTCCCAGCTGCCTTGAGGAAAGGGGAAAGAATGAAGCTCTATCTCTGGGGAAAGAAACAAGCTCTATCTCTGTATAAACAGGTTGACTTCATAGGATGTTTCGGTTCACCTCTGGAAACCAGAAAATCCTGCTTCTTCCTGTCATGTCTCTTTAGTTGTGCTAGACTGGGATCTCCTCCATATCCCCAGGTTTGTCCTGCAATGAAATGTGAAAACAAGACATGACAAAGACATTTTTTTTTTTTTTTTTTTTTTTTATGTCATTTTAGCAGACGCTCTTATCCAGAACGACTTACAGGAGCAATTAGGGTTAAGTGCCTTGCGCAAGGGCACATCGACAGATTTTTCACCTAGTCGGCTCGGGGATTAGAACCAGCGACCTTTCGGTTACTGGCACAACGCTCTTAACCACTAAGCTACCTGCCGCCCCTAATCTATTATCATAGATTATAATCATTGATGTAAATTCAGTCAACAATACATTTGCAAAATTCCGGTAACTTTTCCTAAATGTTTTCCATCAATCCTGGTTGAAAGATTCACGTAATCAGGAGGGAATACTGTAATCAGGAAATCCTCTGACCGGGATGTCTGGAAAATGTGGGATTTTTGGGAAAGTTACTCACCAGTGTCTGTTAATTTAATTCACAATATTCCCCTCAGATGCATCACTTGGTGCAAAACAATAACCAGCCCCAACCACCTGAAGCTCCCATCAACACAGCAAAACGAACTGTGCATTCCCCCCAGAAAAAACACAACAGAATGACAGGTCAGCGGCATGATTTCATAAATGGCACCGTATTCTTCTTATAGTGCATGGGTTATAGTTATGGGTTCTGGTCAAAAGTAGTGCACCAAATAGAGAACAGGGTGCCATTTTGGACGCAGATATGGTTCATGATGAGCGGTAACTGCTGGCACGTCAACCGCTAACACTTCCTCAGTGTAGCGTGCCAGCTTTAGCCTCTTGTTCTGTCAAAGCCAGGCTTATTTTTTTCAGGGTTTTCCCACTCATAAAAATGCCGCTGTTTGGCTTGTTGTCTCCCGTCTTGACAGTTATGAATTGTGTCCCAAATGGCACCCTGTTCTCTCCATAGTGCACTACTGATGACTAATGTGATGCACTATGGGAATTAGGGTGTCATTTGGGACGCAGGCAGGGAGGTGGAGGGTTGTGTTGTTTACTGATGGCTGGGTGCGTTGTGGTGTGTCTGTAATGGGGTGTGTGTGTGTGTGTGTGTGATTGGACAGGGAGACGGGGAGACGGGGAGACGGGGATCAGTTGGTCGGTTGGTTGGGGAATGAGCAGTATGGAGAGTGACAGCTGAGAAGCTCGGTCGAAGGGAAACACATCTGTCATTGATTTAACGTGTGGCCCAGTAAACAGACCTATGGCGTGGGTGCAGAATATCGCTCACACACAACACACACACACACACACACACACACACACACACACACACACACACACACACACTCCACCCTCACACACGGCCCCACCCTCTTCCAACCAGGCCTACACACAGTCAATATGAGTGGACTGGTACAGTTAAATCATTGATTTGAACCTACTGCAGCGTTTCCCAAACTCGACCCCAAGGGTTGCAATTTTTTATTTAATTTTTCCTACAAAACCTGATTCAAATGATGATTGCTTGATGATGAGTTGACTATTTTAATCAGCTGTGTAGTGATAGGGCGAAAAACTAAACGTGCACCCCTTGGCGTCCTGAGTTTGGGAAACCCTGCCCCTACTGAATGGAAGCACGCTCAATTATAGACGCTGATTACATCATACAGTATTCTAAATTAGAGGGTAAAATGGCGCCATTATGTTTTATGGACATTGTCAGTTCTTCAACCAAAAAAAACACTCACCATGAAGATTATGTTCACATGCAGAATCCCATTGTACAGGCTGCCCATCAGATCACTATGCACTCACACAGATGGGGTTTTCAATAAACAATTATTTAGAGGCCAAAACAAAATAATTTACTCAATTTCTGTAGCGCTTTGCTTTGCCATAACCACAACTTTGACCATTTCTGTTTGTTCTGGGAGCTCATGCCAGTACTCAGGACTCAGACAAAGTTACTCATCACACAAGCTCCATTACATGAGCTGAGCAGTGCTGTACAGGTCTCAGGCAGAGTTACTCATCACACAAGCTACATTACATGAGCCTGGCCTCTCTCTTCTCTCAGCCTGGCCTCTCTCTTCTCTCAGCCTGGTCTCTCTCTCTCCTCTCAGCCTGTCCTCTCTCTTCTCTCAGCCTGGCCCCTCTCTCCTCTCAGCCTGGCCCCTCTCTCCTCTCAGCCTGCTCTCTCTCTCCTCTCAGCCTGTCCTTTCTCCTCTCAGCCTAGCCTCTCTCTCCTGCTATGAGGGAAAAGCCAATGGCTTGACATCCCTCACCTCTCTGCCTCTTTCTATCTCTACCTCTCTCTCTCTCTCTTCCTGACTCCCTCCCACATTCTATTTTTTCCTCTCCCTCTGTCTCTCTCTTTCTCTCTCCCCTTACATCAACCCTCTCCTCCATCACTCCTCTTTCCCCTTCCACACTTCTCCCCTCCCTCCCTCCCTCCCTCCCTCTCTCATTCCTCAGACTGATACCCAGGATCAATAGTGCCTTTCCCCTTCAGCCCTCAGGGTCATAAATCAGATTCAGTGCGGGTGTGCATCCCAAATGGGACCCTATCCCCTGTATAGTGCACTACTTTTGACCAGGCCAGATAGGTGCACTATATAGGGAATAGGGTGCAATTTGGGATGCAGATGGGTCCTCCTGAAGGAAGGAAGGATGCCTCCACAAAAAACATCCCAATACAAGCCTCTCTCTCTAAGCCTTAGTGTGAGCCGGGGCAGGAAGGTGAGGACAGTTTAACTGGCTGTTCCCAATAACAAGCCCAGATCCTTGGGCCGTACAAAAGAGATGGGCGCTAGTGGTTGTCTTAGGAGGTACAGAGAGAGGGATAAATAAGATGGTAACATTAAGCTGTCACCTCAGGGTACACACACAGAGAGAGAGAAACAGACAGACACACACACACACACACACACACACACACACACACACACACACCAAAAACACACACACACACACACACCAAACACACACACACACACACACAATACACACACAATACAATACAATACACGTTCTGCTGTCACCTCAGGGTACACACAGAGAGAGAGAAACAGACACACACACACACACACACACACACACACACACACACCACACACACACACACACCAAACACACACACACACACCAAACACACACACACACACCAAACACACACACACACACACACCAAACACACACACACACACACACACACACACACACACACACACACACACACACACACACACACACCAAACACACACACACACACACACACACACACCAAACACACACACACACACACCAAACACACACACACACACAATACACACACAATACAATCCACGCTCTCTTAGAAACATTTGACTGATGGTTAGGGACAGCCCTGCGTAGTTATTCCGTTATTCCAGTGACGTGTATGCGGTAGGGCGAAGTCAAGAGCAGGACGCCGAGCTACTGGCAGAAAACTTTACTGCAAATTACAAAGTGCACAGGCAACCTCAAACAGCGAGGGAAATAACAAGACCCGTACACATGGGCAACTGCCGCAAAGACCAAAAAAACAATAACGCACAATACACAATGAGGAACAGAGGGTTATAAAGGGAACACAATAAAACATCATGGGAAACAGGTGTAAACAATAAAGACCAAACAAGACAAACACCGAAACATCGATCGGCAGCAGCTAGTACTCCGGGGACGACGAACGCCGAAGCCTGCCCGAGCAAGGAGGAGGAGCAGCCTCGGCTGAATCCGTGACAACTTCCATGTTTTTAAATGCAGGGCAGTAGGTTAGGCAGGCTATGGCCGGCACGGCGGCTGGAAATGTAAATTGCTTTCGTTTTTATAATTGGGAGTATTTTGATTCTTTCAACAGGGGACCACTGAACGTCTGCAGGAAAAATATATCAACGTGTTAAGAATATTTAAATATTTCATCACGTGACTACAGCACTTCAATATGCTTTGTGTCGTTGTCCAATAGTGTGTGGTTAGAAACATTTTGCTTATCCACGAACCACAAGCCACTCGAGGGACTTTGAAAGGGAAACAAAAAAAAAAAACGGGCATTGTCTTTGTCCCAAATGGCACCCCATTCCCTATATAGTGCACTACTTACGGAATAGGATGCCGCATGAGATGCAGATATACAAAACATTATGAACACCTGCTCTTTCGACATAGACTGACCAGGTGAGAGCTGTGAACCCTTATTGATGTTGCTTGTTAAATCCACTTCAGTCAGTGTAGATGAAGGGGAGGAGACAGGTTAAATAATTATTTTTAAGCCTTGAGACAATTGAGACATGGATTGTGTACAGTCGTGGTCAAAAGTTTTGAGAATGACACAAATACTAATTTGTCTGCCGCCTCAGTTTTGATGATGGCAATTTGCATATACTCCAGAATGTCATGAAGAGTGATCAGATGAATTGCAATTAATTGCAAAGTCCCTCTTTTCCATGAAAATGAACTTAATCCCCCAAAAACATGTCCACTGCGTTTCAGCCCTGCCACCTAAATCAACCATTTTTCTGATCATCAAGAACTTCAATTGTTGTGAAGAAGGCGTCAGGGCGCCCAAGGAAGTCCAGCAAGCGCCAGGACCGTCTCCTAAAGTTGATTCAGCTGCGGGATCGGGGCACCACCAGTGCAGAGGTTGCTCAGGAATGGCAGCAGACAGGTGTGAGTGCATCTGCACGCACAGTGAGGCAAAGACTTTTGGGAGGATGGCCTGGTGTCAAGAAGGGCAGCAAAGAAGCCACCTCTCTCCAGGAAAAACATCAGGGACCGACTGATATTCTGCAAAAGGTACAGGGATTGGACTGCTGAGGATTGGAGTAAGGTCATTTTCTCTGATGAATACCCTTTCCGATTGTTTGGGGCATCCGGAAAATACCTTGTCCGGAGAAGACAAGGTGAGCGCTACCATCAGTCCTGTGTCATGCCAACAGTAAAGCATCCTGAGACCATTCATGTGTGGGGTTGCTTCTCAGCCAAGGGAGTGGGCTCACTCACATTTTTGCCTAAGAACACAGCCATGAATAAAGAATGGTATCAACACATCCTCTGAGAGCAACTTCTCCCAACCATCCAAGAACAGTTTGGTGACGACCAATGCCTTTTCCAGCATGATGGCGCACCTTGCCATAAGGCAAAAGTGATAACTAAGTGGCTCGGGGAACAAAACATCGACATTTTGGGTCCATGGCCAGGAAACTCCCCAGACCTTAATCCCATTGAAATCTTGTGGTCAATCCTCAAGAGGCGGGTGGACAAACAAAAACCCACAAATTCTGACAAACTCCAAGCATTGATTATGCAAGAATGGGCTGCCATCAGTCAGGATGTGGCCCAGAAGTTAATTGACAGCATGCCAGGGAGGATTGCAGAGGTCTTGCAAAAGAAGAGTCAACACTGCAAATATTGACTCTTTGCATAAACGTAATGTAATTGTCAATAAAAGCATTTGACACTTATGGAATGCTTGTAATTATACTTCGGTATACCATAGTAAAATCTGACAAAAATATCTCATAACACTGAAGCAGCGAACTTTGTGAAGACCAATACTTTCTCAAAACCTTTGACCACGACTGTATGTGTGCCACTCAGAGGATGAAGATTGATGTGCCTTTGAACGGGGTACGGTAGTAGGTGCCAGGCAACCAGCTTTTTGGTCAAGAACTGCAATGCTGCTGGGTTTTTCACGCTCAACAGTTTCCCGTGTGTATCAAGAATGGTCCACCATCCAAAGGACATCCAGCCAACGTGACACAACTGTGGGAAGCATTGGAGTCAACATGGGCCCTGTGGAATGCTTTCGACACCTTGTAGAGTCCATGTCCTGACGAATTAGGAAGGTGTTCCTAATGTTTGGTACACTCACTGTAGTTTTACTGCTGAAGCTTCTAGAAGGCAGCCAGTACATCTGTAGTATCTATATCTATTGTCTGGGGGTTAAACCTGTTACAGCATGTTTGTTCCTCCGCTAGTGTCACCACCAGTATTTCCCTTATCCACATCAACAAAACCATTTCCTCAACATATTTGACTGTCAAATAAAACATCCTAACTGCACACATATGTTTGATAGTGAAAGTTATGAGGGAGAAGCTTTTGAAGATTTCATTGGGATGCATCTGGTTCCGTCCTGGCTGGAGGAAGGAGGACAAAGGGCCCTGGTCAAAGTAGTAGTGCACTATAAAGGGACTAGATACCATTTGGGAAGCAGGCTAAGCCCTTGATCCACCCCTGATCCGGGCACGAGTAAGAGCCTCTGGGAGGCCATCCTTCCCACCATCCCTCCATCCCTCCATCCCTGCCTCCATCCCTCCATCCCTCCATCCCTCCAGCCCTCCTTCCCTCCATCCCTCCATCCTTCCAACCCTCCATCCCTCCCTCCCTCCATCCCTCCTTCCCTCCATCCCTCCATCCCTCCCTCCATCCCTCCTTCCCTCCCTCCCTCCCTCCCTCCATCCCTCCTTCCCTCCCTCCTTCCCTCCTTCCCTCCTTCCCTCCATCCCTCCAGCCCTCCATCCCTCCATCCCTCCATTCCTCCATCCTTCCATCCTTCCATCCTACCTTCCCTCCATCCCTCCTTCCCTCCATCCCTCCTTCCCTCCATCCTTCCAACCCTCCATCCCTCCTTCCCTCCATCCCTCCAGCCCTCCATCCCTCTTCCCTCCATCCTTCCAACCCTCCTCCCTCCATCCCTCCATCCCTCCTTCCCTCCTTCCCTCCCTCCTTCCCTCCATCCCTCCAGCCCTCCTTCCCTCTATCCCTCCATCCCTCTAACCCTCCATCCCTCCATCCTTCCAAACCCTTCATCCCTCCTTCCCTCTATCCTTCCATCCTTCCAACCCTCCATCCTTCCATCCTTCCATCCCTCCATCCCTCCTTCCCTCCATCCCTCCTTCCCTCCATCCTTCCAACCCTCCATCCCTCCATCCCTCCTTCCCTCCTTCCCTCCATCCCTCCAGCCCTCCTTCCCTCCTTCCCTCCCTCCTTCCCTCCATCCCTCCAGCCCTCCTTCCCTCCATCCCTCCATCCCTCCTTCCCTCCATCCCTCCTTCCCTGTTGCAGCATGTTTGTTCCTCCACTAGTCTATATTCTGGGGGTTAAACCTGTTACAGCATGTTTGTTCCTCCGCTAGTGTCACCACCAGTATTTCCCTTATCCACATCAACAAAACCATTTCCTCAACATATTTGACTGTCAAATAAAACATCCTAACTGCACACATATGTTTGATAGTGAAAGTTAAGAGGGAGAAGCTTTTGAAGATTTCATTGGGATGCATCTGGGTCCGTCCTGGCTGGAGGAAGTAGGACAAAGGGCCCTGGTCAAAGTAGTAGTGCACTATAAAGGGACTAGATACCATTTGGGAAGCAGGCTAAGCCCTTGATCCACCCCTGATCCGGGCACGAGTAAGAGCCTCTGGGAGGCCATCCTTCCCTCCATACCTCCATCCCTCCATCCCTCCCTCCATCCCTCCATCCATCCCTCCATCCCTCCATCCCTCCATCCATCCCTCCATCCTTCCATCCCTCCATCCCTCCAACCCTCCAACCCTCCATCCCTCCATCCTTCCATCCCTCCATCCCTCCATCCCTCCTTCCCTCCTCTCCCTCCATCCCTCCTTCCCTCCATCCTTCCATCCCTCCATCCCTCCATCCCTCCTTCCCTCCTCTCCCTCCATCCCTCCTTCCCTCCATCCCTCCATCCTTCCATCTTTCCATCCCTCCAACCCTCCATCCCTCCATCCCTCCATCCTTCCATCCCTCCATCCCTTCATCCCTCCTTCCCTCCTTCCCTCCTCTCCCTCCATCCCTCCTTCCCTCCATCCTTCCATCCCTCCATCCCTCCATCCCTCCATCCCTCCATCCCTCCTCTCCCTCCATCCCTCCTTCCTCCTCCCCTCTTCCCTCTCCCCTCCATCCCTCATCCGTCCACCCATCCTCATCCCTCAAATCCATCCTCTTTCCCTCCATCCTTCCATCCCTCCATCCCTCCCTCCCCTCCATCCCCTCCTCCTCCCTTCCATCCTCTTCCCTTCATCCTTCATCCCTCCGCCATCCTCCATCCCTCATCTACCCTCCTTCCCTCCATCCCTCTATCCCTTCATCTTCAGCCTCAGGAACGACTGAGCACCAAAGCACGAGACAAGACACTCTTAAGCCGTAATTTACAGAATCGTTATCGTATCACCAAGGGTGTGCTTACTTTTCACGTTACAATAACGGATGTTGAAGGGAGGAACAGTAAAAGATATATATTGAAAAACCTTTCTTAAGGGACAATTTCTTTTACGCGGGCTGGGGCCCCAACCAAGAGTTTTGGAGTTGGTCAACTGGGCCCTTCAGGTGTATGTCCCCATAGTGGAGGACTCAACATTGATTATTAATAGCGCTCCAGAATACTCCACAAATCAAAGTTAGAGTTGGTTCAGCCTCAGCAGAGGTCAGCTTATATATGGGAGACGGGAGAGGGCAGAGGAGGAGGAGAGGGGGAAGGAGTGAGGGGGAGAGGAGGAGGAGAGGGGGAAGGAGAGAGGGGGAGAGGAGGAGGAGAGGGGGAAGGAGAGAGGGGGAGAGGAGGAGGAGAGGGGGTAGGAGAGAGGGGGAGAAGAGGAAGAGAGGGGGAAGGAGAGAGAGGGAGAAGAGAGGGGAAAGAGGAGAGAGGGAGAAGAGAGGGGGAGAAGAGCAGGGAGGAGCAGAGGGGGAAGGGGAGAGGAGGAGGAGAGTGGGAGAGTGAGAGAGTGAGAGGGGAGACAATATAAGACTCGTTGAGGAAACCTAGTGCACAAACTCTCAGTGCTCTAGTGTGTCCTCATGACCTGCAGAGTTTAAACACTAATCTTGTCAGCAGGGGGAATTTGGAGAATCTTTGGTTTGTGCTTTCTTTTTTCACAGAATTACATATAGAATCATTTTCATGACCAACTAAATAATTGATCATAAAAACCAAACGCCATACAATCAAAATGTCAACATTCTTCTTGCAGAAAATCGGATAAGACATACTGTACGTTCTGGTAGAACAGGAACTAAATCTTTGAAACGTTCAATTATTCGACCATCACATTTGCTAATGCAGAAACCAAATGTCAGAAGAAAATGTAACTGTTTCTATCAACTTCTTCTTTGGGAGTAGTATAGCGTCTGTGGGAAACCCAGTGGTATGCAGTCAGCACAAAGCTACATAAAGAAGCAGTCCTCATGATTGTCAGGCCAGGGTGTTAACTTCGACTGAGGCTGCGTACCAAATAGCACCATATTCCCTATATAGTGCCCCGGCTTTGGTCAAAGGTTGTGCAGCTTATTGGAGATAAGGTTTCATTTGGGACTCGGACAGAGTTTTCACTCCAGATGATGTATGGTTTGGAGCCAAAGGTATTTCTGGGGGAAGTGAGGGGGTTTCCCACCAGATCTAATAACTTTGATTTACGCAGAGGAAGGAGGAGCACACTTTTATTTTTACATCTTTGGTTGCGTCGCAAATTGCACCCTATTCCCTATATAGTGCACTTCTTTTGACCAGGGCCCCATAGGCCTCTGGTCAAAAGTAGTGCACTAAACAGGGAATAGGGCGGCATTTATCCCTGGTTAGCTCCGTCCACCTCTACCAGTACCAACGAAGGAAGGCACACAAGACAGACCATTATATATCTCAGTCCACATTAAGATAAGGAACACCCAGATGAGTGGAGACTCCAGTCAGACAATGCCTTTCCTATTGCAGTAGTGTGGGCAATTGTCCTGTTGGTGGGGAGGGACGGGGGGAGTGGTGAAGCGGAGCGGGTGTGTTTTGGCAAATTGCACCAGATTTATCTTGGCTATAGGCATCCTCTTTCCTGGGTTTCCATCTCGGGTTTCTGTCGTCTCTCTCCCCGGATGAGTTCCAAATGGCACCCTATTCCCCTAGGTAGTGCACTACTTTTGACCAGGGCCCATAGTGCACTACAATAGGGAATAGGGTGCTCTTTGGGACGACTCAGCCAGTCACAGTACAGGGCCTTATCAGGCTGCCCTCCTCTCAGTGGCTGGTTCCAGCGGTAAGATTTCAGGTGCTGGCCCTGGTCTCCAGAGGAACAGGTGTCCCCTCTGTGTCCGGGCGGCTGGGGTCTCGCTGGGGAGGCCTGGGAAAGGGCAGGTACCGCCAAGGCATGGTTCTGCCTCAGCGGACAGCTAACAGTGGGGCTTTGATGATGAATTCGGCCTAATTGCTTAAGGAGTCTGTGGAAGTTATAATAGTTAGGATGGAGGTAGACAAAAGGAAAAAAGACAAAAATTCACATGGCCAAAGGAGTTGCAAATGGGTTTGAATCTAAGGCTCAATCCCAATACTCCCCCTTAGCCCTCCACCTGAGTGTTGTCCCATTTCAACTTTGAGCGTAGTGCCTTTTCAGTTGGCCCTCCAAAACTAAGCGAATTGAGGTCCAGACTGGTCGTCACTAGTTACCAAAACCACAAAGTCATAAACTCTGCCTCTTTCGACAATTTCTCTTCTTAAAAATTAGATTTGAAAAGCACAGGAGGTTGGTGGCACCTTAATTGGGGAGGACGGGCTCGTGGTAATGGCTGGAGCGGAATGAGGACGGGCTCGTGGTAATGGCTGGAGCGGAATGAGGACGGGCTCGTGGTAATGGCTGGAGCGGAATGAGGACGGGCTCGTGGTAATGGCTGGAGCGGAATGAGGACGGGCTCGTGGTAATGGCTGGAGCGGAATCAGGACGGGCTCGTGGTAATGGCTGGAGCGGAATGAGGACGGGCTCGTGGTAATGGCTGGAGCGGAATGAGGACGGGCTCGTGGTAATGGCTGGAGCGGAATGAGGACGGGCTCGTGGTAATGGCTGGAGCGGAATGAGGACGGGCTCGTGGTAATGGCTGGAGCGGAATGGGGACGGGCTCGTGGTAATGGGGAGGACTGGCTCGTGGTAATGGCTGGAGCGGAATGGGGACGGGCTCGTGGTAATGGCTGGAGCGGAATGAGGACGGGCTCGTGGTAATGGCTGGAGCGGAATGAGGACGGGCTCGTGGTAATGGCTGGAGCGGAATCAGGACGGGCTCGTGGTAATGGGGAGGACTGGCTCGTGGTAATGGGGAGGACTGGCTCGTGGTAATGGGGAGGACTGGCTCGTGGTAATGGCTGGAGCGGAATCAGGACGGGCTCGTGGTAATGGCTGGAGCGGAATAGGGACGGGCTCGTGGTAATGGGGAGGACGGGCTCGTGGTAATGGCTGGAGCGGAATCAGGACGGGCTCGTGGTAATGGCTGGAGCGGAATGGGGACGGGCTCGTGGTAATGGCTGGAGCGGAATGAGGACGGGCTCGTGGTAATGGCTGGAGCGGAATGGGGATGGGCTCGTGGTAATGGCTGGAGAGGAATAGGGACGGGCTCGTGGTAATGGCTGGAGCGGAATAGGGACGGGCTCGTGGTAATGGCTGGAGCGGAATGAGGACGGGCTCGTGGTAATGGCTGGAGCGGAATCAGGACGGGCTCGTGGTAATGGCTGGAGCGGAATGAGGACGGGCTCGTGGTAATGGCTGGAGCGGAATCAGGACGGGCTCGTGGTAATGGCTGGAGCGGAATCAGGACGGGCTCGTGGTAATGGCTGGAGCGGAATGAGGACGGGCTCGTGGTAATGGCTGGAGCGGAATGAGGACGGGCTCGTGGTAATGGCTGGAGCGGAATGAGGACGGGCTCGTGGTAATGGCTGGAGCGGAATTAGGACGGGCTCGTGGTAATGGCTGGAGCGGAATGAGGACGGGCTCGTGGTAATGGCTGGAGCGGAATAAGGACGGGCTCGTGGTAATGGCTGGAGCGGAATGAGGACGGGCTCGTGGTAATGGCTGGAGTGGAATGAGGACGGGCTCGTGGTAATGGCTGGAGTGGAATGAGGACGGGCTCGTGGTAATGGCTGGAGCGGAATGAGGACGGGCTCGTGGTAATGGCTGGAGCGGAATGAGGACGGGCTCGTGGTAACGGCTGGAGCGGAATGAGGACGGGCTCGTGGTAATGGCTGGAGCGGAATGAGGACGGGCTCGTGGTAACGGCTGGAGCGGAATGGGGACGGGCTCGGGGTAATGGCTGGAGCGGAATGGTATCAAACACAAGGTTTCCATGTGTATGATGCCATTCCATTTGCTCCGTTCCAGCCATTATTATGAGCCGTCCTCCCCTCAGCAGCCTCCACTGTTTTAAACCTAACCCCAACCTTAACCACACTGCTAACCCTATGCCTAACCCTAACCTTAAATCACGAATACAAAGCAAATGTTTGTTTTCATAAATTGTTACAATATAGCCAATTTTAACCTTGTTGCTGTCCTATCTAGTGGAAACCGTCCCGACTTGATAGCGAGTGGTTACCAAATCTCCCATGAGGCTCTGCGACCCAAGGCTCTAAAGTTGATTCAGGAAAGATGGCTGACAAAAATATTAAAATGTAAATAATTATAACAAAACATTTACAGTTATGAGGAATATGTTAGCTAGAAGCTAGCAGACTCATTACTTACCAACAACAGCTGCAAATTCCACTAAACTACATCACGTTTTGAAGTTCACTTTCCTTGCTTTGTCTAATAACACTATCATGAATCTAGCAAAAAAATGGGTCAGAGTGCAGTATTTATTTAGTTTCACAGAACAAATGTTTGTTGGCATGTTTCTCACACAGGCTTTAGCCACGGAGGGAGCAGGCCTGCCCAAGCCAATGCAGGTGGGTTGCCTAGCAACACGTGCCTTGGAGGAAGACAACGTCTGTCTGTATAGCGTGACAAATTCCCATGATTTGTGAATCTGTTTGGAGCTAACAGCTAGCGCGACAGCTAAAATGGCTTTGAAAAAAATAAATGAAAGCTAATAGGGACAAACAAATAACTACATTATCGCATTCACTAATCATAAACTATTTACATATCATAGAAATGTGGGTACATTTGTGGACAAAATTCTTACTTACTCAACCTTAATTGAAGACCAATACGGGAAAAAAAAAAATCATTAAAGATCACAGAGGAAAACCTGGTTCAGTCTGCTTTCCACAAGACACTGGAAGATGAATTCACCTTTCAGTAGGACAATAACCTAAAACACAAGGCCAAATCTACACTGGAGTTGTTTACGAAGAAGACCTGTGAATGTTCCCGAGTGGCCGAGTTACAGTTTTGACGCAACTCCTCTATTCAGCCATCCCCTCCAACAACACCCAGGAGACATGACAGTTTATGGCCTGTAACCGTGGCGATGGCAGGTGGCCATCTTGTGAGCTGAGATCAAAGGCTTTGCCCGGTCACCCCCTGGAGCATCGTGCTGTCAGAGGGTGCATTGATCAATGGCCCAGGTGTGAAAAGGGAGAGGTAGAGGGAGAGCAGGGCAGGTAAATATCTCAGGGGCAAGGGAAGGCCAACACCTTTCACACTCATTACACACCGGCTTATTTGTCAAGCGATTTAGTCACTGGAGGGATCAGGGATCTAGCTGCTGTAATAAAGCCTAACGTTGATTTAGGGAATGTTTATCATATTTGAATGTGATGTTAATGTTAGCCTAGAAACTGGGAAGGTATCAATTTCATAATGAGTGCCTAAAGGCATTGCCTGTAGACCTACTGTGGGGCTGTTAGAACTGTTAATTTGTTCACTCATAACGTTTATAAAGCTAATAGGCCCATGTATTATCAATACTAAAACATCTCCTTCAGATAAGATTGACCTTATTTGACCACAACAACATTAATCATCACTATCCCATCTGTCCACAGTGCAGTATTATATATTTTTTTAATGAGCTTGCCATATCTGCATTCTGACATATTCAACCAGACAATCAGTGAGTCCATCTAAACCTGCAGGAAGCCCGGGGGTCGGCAACAAAGACATTTGAAAATGTCATTAGCGACCTCTCAGCTCCTCTCAGCTGCAACCCCAAAGCCCGTAGTGATAATATATTGATGGGGCTGTCATTAAAAACAGTTTTCAGGCTCCTTGAGGATTCATTTGCGTTGACCCAGAATGCAGTATTTTCTTAACACAAGCAGCGGGCTACTTTGATGCTATCAGCTTATCCAAACATGGGGGGGAGAGGCGGGAGAGAGAGGAAGGAGGCCGCCCTGCCCATCCACTGGCTGCCTCGGTCGGTCCCGCGGAGGACGGCTACGATTAATCATGCTGAAGACAGCTAGAGCCTGCTCATAAATCGCCCCACCGGGTCCTTAACGGAAGAAGTCCCAGGGCTCAACCCCAACATTTATCAACACTCTTCCACTCCGGATGTGGAGCGAATAAAACAGTGCGTAGGGTTGGCGCAGGGCTCTCTGATGTTGAGAATATCAATGAGGACCTAATGACTTCATTCTGCTGTGAACGATGTGTTTGTCCTGGGATTTGCCTTGTGGTGCAATAAATAGCTGCATGTCCCCCAAGTGGAGACAGAGAAAAATGCATCTGCCTATGTTTCTGTCTGTACTGGGCCAATCACTCTGGACACATCTAATGTCTGATCTATTGGAGAGATTGAACCAAGTCAACAGGTATGAAAAGCATGCAGAATGTGATGCAGTCATCGTATTTTTGAGGTTTGAGAAATATAAAAATAATAAAATACCAACTTAAACCACAATCAAGTTAAGCAATAAAGTATTTTTACCAATCCATCACTAACCAGTTTTTACTCCTCATCACAATAACTAATACAACCATTTCAATAGATAGTCTAAACTCAAAATACCACTCCAACATTCACCACCAGTTGTTACAGTATCGCTGAAGACTAATGTTCTGGTCTGACAACAATGACATCAATAGCGCTAACTCTCGTCAAGCTTCCACAGGGAGACACACACACAGTCAGGCTTCCACAGGGAGACAGACACACACACAGTCAGGCTTCCTCAGACAGACACACACACAGTCAGGCTTCCTCAGGGGAGGAAAAAGAAGAAGAAGAGATGAAAGACAACACATGACCCTTGACCCCGGCCAAGCTGGGGTGACTCTAACCTCTCCCTGCTTCATCATCTGACTTTGACCTTCCCATTGGTCCTTGTGTGTGTGTCAGTCTCTTCCTGTCTCTATGTGTGTGTCAGTCTCTCGCTCTGTGTGTGTCAGAATTTTAGCTAACCTTACCCTAACCCTTTTCCTGACCTTAACATAATTCACCTAACCTGCCACTTTAATTATCCTAACCTGCCACATTAATTATCTTAACCTGCTTCATAAGTCCCTGCCTGTGCCATTAAACCCCTACAACTTATCCAGAATGCTGCAGCCCGTCTGGTGTTCAACCTTCCCAAGTTCTCTCACGTCACCCCGCTCCTTCGTGCACTCTACTTGCTTCCAGTTGAAGCTCGCATCTACTACAAAATCATGGTGCTTGCCTACGGAGCTGTGAGGGGAACGGCACCTCCTTATCTTCAGGCTCTGATCAGACCCTACACCCAAACGAGGGCACTACGTTCATCCACCTCTGGCCTGCTAGCCCCCCCCCCCCCCCATTATAAAAAAAAAAGGGTGGTTGTCCCACTGGCTATCCTAAGTTGAATGCACCAATTTGTAAGTCGCTCTGGATAAGAGCGTCTGCTAAATGACTTACAGTGGGGGAAAAAAGTATTTAGTCAGCCACCAATTGTGCAAGTTCTCCCACTTAAAAAGATGAGAGAGGCCTGTAATTTTCATCATAGGTACACGTCAACTATGACAGACAAATTGAAGAAAAAAATTCCAGAAAATCACATTGTAGGATTTTTTATGAATTTATTTGCAAATTATGGTGGAAATTAAGTATTTGGTCACCTACAAACAAGCAAGATTTCTGGCTCTCACAGACCTGTAACTTCTTCTTTAAGAGGCTCCTCTGTCCTCCACTCGTTACCTGTATTAATGGCACCTGTTTGAACTTGTTGTCAGTATAAAAGACACCTGTCCACAACCTCAAACAGTCACACTCCAAACTCCACTATGGCCAAGACCAAAGAGCTGTCAAAGGACACCAGAAACAAAATTGTAGACCTGCACCAGGCTGGGAACACTGAATCTGCAATAGGTAAGCAGCTTGGTTTGAAGAAATCAACTGTGGGAGCAATTATTAGGAAATTTTAAGACATACAAGACCACTGATAATCTCCCTCGATCTGGGGCTCCACGCAAGATCTCACCCAGTGGGGTCAAAAAGATCACAAGAACGGTGAGCAAAAATCCCAGAACCACACGGGGGGACCTAGTGAATGACCTGCAGAGAGCTGGGACCAAAGTAACAAAGCCTACCATCAGTAACACACTACGCCGCCAGGGACTCAAATCCTGCAGTGTCAGACGTGTCCCCCTGCTTAAGTCAGTACATGTCCAGGCCCGTCTGAAGTTTGCTAGAGTGCATTTGGATGATCCAGAAGAGGATTGGGAGAATGTCATATGGTCAGATGAAACCAAAATATAACTTTTTGGTAAAAACACAACTTGTCGTGTTTGGAGGACAAAGAATGCTGAGTTGCATCCAAAGAACACCATACCTACTGTGAAGCATGGGGGTGGAAACATCATGCTTTGGGGCTGTTTTTCTGCAAAGGGACCAGGACGACTGATCCGTGTAAAGGAAAGAATGAATGGGGCCATGTATCGTGAGATTTTTAGTGAAAACCTCCTTCCATCAGCAAGGGCATTGAAGATGAAACATGGCTGGGTCTTTCAGCATGACAATGATCCCAAACACACCGCCCGGGCAACGAAGGAGTGGCTTCGTAAGAAGCATTTCAAGGTCCTGGAGTGGCCTAGCCAGTCTCCAGATCTCAACCCCATAGAAAATCTTTGGAGGGAGTTGAAAGTCCGTGTTGCCCAGCGACAGCCCCAAAACATCACTGCTCTAGAGGAGATCTGCATGGAGGAATGGGCCAAAATACCAGCAACAGTGTGTGAAAACCTTGTGAAGACTTACAGAAAACATTTGACCTGTGTCATTGCCAACAAAGGGTATATAACAAAGTATTGAGAAACTTTTGTTATTGACCAAATACTTATTTTCCACCATAATCTGCAAATAAATTCATTAAAAATCCTACAATGTGATTTTCTGGATTTTTTTTTCTCATTTTGTCTGTCATAGTTGACGTGTACCTATGATGAAAATTACAGGCCTCTCTCATCTTTTTAAGTGGGAGAACTTGCACAATTGGTGGCTGACTAAATACTTTTTTTTCCCCACTGTAAATGTAAATGTAAATAAGTTATCCTAACCTCTTACGAAAAGTCACTTCTGCTAGCCAAAACCGGCAGACCTGCCCTGAGAACAGTCTTAGATTCCACGAACGCAATACAGCACATATTGATGGGTACACTTCCTGCTTTTACTTCCTGCTTTGCTTCCTGCTTTGCTTCCCACAAAGGCTGCCAGTCCACTCATTATGCCATCATTGACTTGATTGGGGACACTGTTCTATTCATCCTATTTCTAGCAGCAGCACATGCAGTCAGGAGTGGAGGAGATGAGAAAATAAAATAAAAACTCAATCTACACACAATTCCCAATAATGACAAAGCAAATACAGGTTTTTAGAATTTTTTTGCTAAAGAAAATATATATATATATATATATATATGAAAATATCACATTTACATAATACTTTGTTGAAGCACCTTTGGCAGCGAATGCATCCTCGAGTCTTCTTGGGTATGATGCTACAAGTTTAGCACACCTGTATTTGGGGAGTTTCTCCCATTCTTCTCTGAAGATCCTTTCAAGCACTGTCAGGTTGAATGGGAAGCGTCGCTGCACAGCTATTTCCAGGTCTCTCCAGAGATGTTCGATCGGGTTCAAGTCCGGGCTCTGGCTGGGCCACTCAAGGACATTGAGACTTGTACCGAAGCCACTCCTGCGTTGTCTTGGCTGTGTGCTCAGGGTCGTTGTCCTGTTGGAAGGTGAACCTTCGCCCCAGTCGGAGGTCCTGAGCGCTCTGGAGCAGGTTTTCATCAAGGGTCTCTCTGTACTTTGCTCCGTTCATCTTTCCCTCGATCCTGACTATTCTCCCACTCCCTGCCGCTGAAAAACATCCCCACAGCATGATGATGCCACCACCATGCTTCACCGTAGGGATGGTGCCAGGTTTCCTCCAGACGTGACGCTTGGCATTTAGGCCAAAGAGTTCAATCTTGGTTTCATCAGACCAGATAATCTTGTTTCTCATGGTCTGAGAGCCCTTTAGGTGCCTTTTGGCAAACTCCAAGCGGGCTGTCATGTGCCTTGTACTGAGGAGTGGCTTCTGTCTGGTCACTCTACAATAAAGGCCTGATTGGTGGAGTGCTGCAGAGATGGTTGTCCTTCTGGCAGGTTCTCCCATCTCCACAGAGGAACTCTGGAGCTCTGTCAGGGTGACCATCGGATTCTTTGTCACCTCCCTGACCAAGGTCCTTCTCACCTGATTGCTCAGTTTTGCCGGGTGGCCAGCTCTAGGAAGAGTCTTGGTGGTTCCAAACTTCTTCCATTTAAGATTGATGGCGGCCACTGTATTCTTGGGGACCTTCAATGCTTCAGACATTTTTGGGTACCCTTCCCGAGATCTGTGCCTCGACACAATCCTGTCTCGTAGCTCTACGAACAATTCTTCGACCTCATGGCTTAGTTTTTGCACTGTCAACTGTGGGACCTTCTATAGACAGGTGTGTGCCTTTCTAAATCATGTCCAATCAATTGAATTGACCACAGGTGGACTCCAATCAAGTTGTAGAAACATCTCAAGGATGATCAATGGAAGCAGGATGCACCTGAGCTCAATTTCGAGTCTCAGAGCAAAGGGTCTGAATACTTATGTAAATAAGGTGTTTTATTATATTTTTGTAATACATTTGCAAAAATTTCTAAAAACCTGTATTCGCTTCATCATTATGGGGTATTGTGTGTAGATTGATGAGGGTAAAAAAGTATTTAATCCATTTCAGAATAAAATGAAAAAAAATGCTATTTTATGCTTTGAGTTAGGTTTAGGATTACGGGTTAGGTTTTGGGTCAGGAGTTAGTGTGAGGGGTTTTGGGGTTAAGGTTAGGTTAAGAAATTTTTTTTTTTGAATGGGAATCAATTTGTTGGTCCCCACAAGGATGGTAAAAGAAACGTGCATGTGTGTCAGGGCAGTGACACACACACACACACACACACACACACACACACACACACACACACA